AATTTGTCCCCTTTTTGGCCACTTGATGGGATCAAACCGCGTGTGCCTTGAGGCAACACGGAATTTTTGGGCCATGGTATAGACCGGCTGCTGCAGCCCTTGAAAGTCAAATATGCCTGAAGGGTGCGCAAGGCACGCAGAACCGGCACAGAGCCACAACTAGAACAAGCGTCTGCTCTCGAAGCCATAGCCATAGCCAAAGCGAAAGCGAAACCGAAAGCCGTAGCCAGAGCCAAAGCCTTTTGAGTGGCCAGTCGCTTGCTCCTTGCACCTAGGTCCGTGCGCCTCGCTGGCTGGACCACTTCACTTTGTGCCTGAACGTCAAAAGTTTTGTTCGACAAAAAAAAAGGAAGAAGTGGAGGCCAGCAACAATGGAGCCCGTAATCACTTAACGAATTGCTGGCCAGTTAACAATTGGAGCTGACTTATGAATGGGCAATGCTGTGTGAGTGCCCTCTGGCGAGGCAATGGAGTACCCACCTTGAAAGGCTTGCTGTTGTCCAGCTCGGCCAGATCCTCGTCGGCAGTGATGGGTGGCGGTGTGGGCGGCGGTGTGGGCGTGTTTGGCGACAATGCCAGCTCCAACGTAATACTGTCTGCCGCATCATCCGCATCATCGTCATCGGCAACAGCTGCATCAGCAGCAGCAGCAACAGCAGCAGCCGCAGCAGCAACAACAACTCCATCATCCATGTCGTCTGGTTCAGCATCGGTATCGGCATCCATTTCCGCAGCACGCATCAAAGTTCTTTGTCGTGGTGTTCCCGTTGTTGTTGTCGTTCTTGATGTGGTCTGGCCCAGAGTTGGGGCCGCATTAGCCGACGTCGCCTCAACAATTTCAGCTGTTGTTTTTACTGCAGAAATTGCCTGTTTTGCTGCATTAATTTCTGACATTTTTTCTCTGTTTTTGTTTTTCTTTTTTCAACTTGATGTTTTCTTTTGTCTGCTTGCTTTTATGTGGCCCAGACTACCAGCCAGACCACAGATTTATGACAAGCGAAGCAAATTTAAAACTTAATTGAAATGCTTAGTACTTGTAGAATTTTGTTGCCTACTTTTATGAGCCTTTCTTTTCACTTTGTTGTTTCAGAGAAATAGAATTCGCAAATTTTATGAGGAATTCGCAGTAAAGTATTTTATGCTTTCAATTTATTGTTTTTAATTATGAGAATTTCAGTTAAAATTGTGTAAAAAATCTATTTTATTTTTATTAATTATTTTGTATTTTCTCTTCAAACTATTTAAAACTTCATTTTAAACTGAAAGTTTTCACCTAAATGTTTACGCGATTCTTTGTTGTCGCAGATGCCGAGGCAGCCGCACCCACCAATTGCAACAAAAGCCGGCCGAACTTGGAATAAATTGCCAGACATCTGTGCGTGCTGTATTTAAAGAAGCAGCTCCGTGTCTTTGCTCAGCGTTTGCTGTCATTGCAAAAGCACTGGCTAAAGGCAAAATGCCAAAAAGCAAAACAGACGCCGAAGAGCAGACGCAAAAGCACAGCTAACAGTGAGCTTTGAAGAGCGAGCGCTGTTATGGGTCTGCTAATGGGCTGTTAGCCGGCTGTTAGCGACAGACTGGGCGTGATTATGGCTGGCCAGACAAACAAAGCTGTGTACATTTGAGTGGCACATAGGCCTACACACCTGTGTCCAGGTGTGTCTAGCCAGCCACTGCTCAGAGCTGGGCAGAGCTTATTTATTTGCTGTTCTTTTTTCTGCTTTTTAGTTGAAAATTTGTTGGCAAAGCAATGAGTAAATTGTTGAACTTATACGCAGTATATATAAATTTGGGCTTTGAACTTTTCGCTGCACTCTGTGTAAGGGCAAAGTTTATAAATGCAATAAAAATAAAGTTGGCAGCTTGCAGGCAAAACTCTGGCCTATGAATGCGGCTGCTGTTGGGGAAAAAGGAGGAAAAAAAAAAAAAATAATGCAGAAATTTCTCAAACAGGCAGTCGAAAAATGTCACTTTGCCATAATAGGGTCCTTGCAAGCACCGCAACTCTTAACGCATTATTAAAATTGTTGGCACTTTGGGAAAGTTCAACAGAGGTGCGCAGACAAAGGACCGAATTTATGAGCCAAAACTGTCGATTGAACTGAGTGTGACATTTACATGCTGCCAATAGCTATCGCCCTTTCACACGCACTCTGTCTCTATCTCTGTCTCACACTATTGCCTTTCATCTCCCGCTTTCAGCCATGCTAATAGGTTTATTGCCGAACTTAAAATGCATGGGCGTAAATTGCATTTAGCGCTTTTACATAAATTGAACTTTGTTATCATTGAAAATTATACGCTGACATATGCAGGCCTCGACTCTGCACACATATATTAAACATTTAAGCCGAAAATACTAAAATATTACGTATACGCCGCAGCGTGCAGTGCGAATGCATTAATTGTCTCTCTGGCAATGCAATGCACGCAGCACGGAAATTGCACAAAACTTACAGCGATTTCCAACTGATTGACAATCGAGATGCCTACGTGACCCTCGTGCGAATCACGCCGCAGCGGAACTAAGTTTTCAATTTAATTCCATCATCACTTTTGTGTTGTGCAGATTTCGTGCTGCATAAAATGCAATACAAAGGCTGTTAAATGTTGCAGAAAAAGGCAAGGAAAATTGAAAAAGAAAGAACAAAATTAGATTTAAGATAAAATTTATTTTCTCATACAATAAGCTTAAATTGACATAAACTATTCAATGTGTTTCTAATTTACAGAAAAATAATGAAGCAAGGAGGCAGCGAATTTAGCTTTTATTTTAAATTTTAAAATTTGATAAATATGACAAAATAAATTCAAATAAATTCAATTATTCATATTCTTGCTAATAATCAAACTTTATATATTCACAAATCATATTAAATATTTTAAATTCTGATTTTAGGTCAATATATTGTAATATTAATATATATTTTGTATCTATGTAATATATTATGTCAATGTATAATATAAAAAAAAAAAAATTTTCTATGACTTTTATAGAGATAATTTATTTAATGCTTTTGTCTTGTAATTTAATCAATTTAATATTACCATGACGATGATAAGCTTAACTATAACACTTTTTTAACGAAAGTGAATTTTGAATTTGATTAAAAATTTAATTTTGTTCATGATTATACAACTAATAATTATATGAGCTTGCTATATCGACTATACTGCAACACAATTCATAATACTCGTAAATACAATAAAAATCGCCAATGCTGCACTTTTCGCAGAGTTTTCATTACACATCCATCAAAATCATTGGAGCATCTCTAATTACCACACTGCATGCCCTTGACAAACAGTGCCTGCTAAAAGCGCACAGCGCGCTTTGCATTTTTTCCGAAATACGCTGACCCCGCCATTAACGTATTTCGCATATTTCGCACATTTCGCTTATGTGGTATGTGTGCACGTGAGTGTGTGTGTGTGTGTGTGTGCGTGCGCGTGTGTATGTGCGGGAGAGTAATAATTTCCGTTTTCATTTCCTTGCGACAATCAAACGGCCTAATAATTTATGTGGCAGCTCGCTAATTGTGCATTCGAACGTGGCGCGAACATTTTTGCATGTCCATCCAGGTATAATGAACATGCATATATGGTATGTAAATGAAGGTGAGTCGAGACGGCAGCTGAGCATAACAAATTGAAATTTATGCGTCTCGTCCGTATGAGCAGCCAGGTGGGAAGCGTATCAGCCACATAGCCATCATTAGCAGTAGCAGCAGCAGCAGGAGCAACAGCAGGAGCAGCAGCAGGAGCAACAGCAGGGGGAGCGCCAAGAGGCGCGACGGCAATAGCAAGGACAACAACAGTCATGTTTAATTATGGTGCACGACCTTCGGCGTCTGTAGTTTGACAGGCATTGGGCAGTTAGATTAATTAACTCACTTGTCATCGCAGACGCAGCACCAGCAGCAACAACAACAACAACAACTACAACAACAATAGCAGCAGCTGTAACTCAAACTATAGCATACCCTAACAAAAGGTCACATGGGGCGATGATTAATTGCTTAGACTTGTCCAGTTAGGGTATTCAGGAAGTGTGTAACGGAATCGAGATAAAAGTTTAGAAGTTCTCTTTTGTACCATATGCAGAGCGAATTGCTTGCCATATTTATCTCATCAACGTCTTATTAAGCTGACGAAGACAGCATTCTTAATCAATCAAAGGAATTCTAAATTAATTTTACTAGACATATTCTGATAACATATTATGGCGTTTGCTATTGTCGGCTTAATATAAAATATGTATATAGGTTTATTTCTTTTTTTGTACAAATTTATTTAATTAATTAAACAAGGTTTCTGCTGCCTTAAGTAGCAACTTGATCTAGTTTTATATTTAGATGAATAAATAGCAGCACAGGTAATAGTAATGGTATATGCTTACTATATATATATACTTACTATATATATAAGGTACAGGACTGACAATAATTAGTTAAATAAGATTAGACGAGTCATTAAGGGAGCTCCAATGAATAGCTCCTACATATGCATAAAAAGAATTCCTTCGGCAAGCCAGATATGTTATGTGATTTTTAAGAATATTTTCATAAAAAAAGTTTCCATCACTTTAAACCTATTATTAAATTTATTTATTATTCCCCACTACATTGATCAACCTATAAGAGTATTCAATTGTCAGCGTAATATAAACAGCTCCGTCGACTATTGTTTTGTTGGGCTCTTGCCAGGCTGGACCTCAACTTTGGCATTCAGCGGGCGCAATTGGATATGTTGCACTTTTGAGCTTGCCAAAAAAAAAACAAAAAAAACAGAAATTCAGAGGGAGCCAAACAAATCGAAATCGAGTGCGCATCCTGTGAATACGTAGTATATTCAAATCCCAACATGAATTCAGCTCCTCAGCTAAGCCAAATATTTGCGAGGCAGCCGCTGTTGATGCTCTGGCATTTAGCTACAATTGAATGAATTAAAAAAAAAAAAAAAAAAAAAAAATGCAGAAGCAAATGCCAACGAAAAACACATAAAAATGAAAATGTTTTAATTAAATTTAAATATATATGCACGCACACACACACACACACACATGCGAATGCGGGTCGACTGAACATTATTTGGAACTCGCCCGCAGTTGGCTCGAGTTTTTCACTTTCGCTTTCATGCCTTTTATTTGCGTTTTGTTTGTGTTATTTGACTCGCTCCCTTTTCGCTTCTCGCTTGCAGTTAAACATGCAATTTAATTTAATCGTAATCGCATATTTAATTAGTTGTGCAAATGCGCAGGTATTTACATATTTCAATTTGCCAGCTTTTCCACTCATTTAATTGCTGAATATTTATTTAAATTCGCACACAAATTATTATTCTGTCTGTCTCTTGATTGCATTGAGCTTAAATGCATTGAGATATAATGCCATATTTCTTAATTTAAGTGAGTGTTAAGTTAAGCGTTAATTTAGTGCAATTGAAGTCGACTACAAAATGCTCTGCCAGCAGCGAAAAGTTGAGGCAACTTAGATTAGCTTTAGTTGCAGCTTAGTTAAGGCTCAATTTAAATATTGAAATATCATTTGATTCAGCAGCCCAGTCAATAGCAATTAAAACCACAGTCGACTTTTTATAGCCCATATTTGCAAAATAGAGCGCATGCAGCTTTATGTTCGCTTGTTGCTACATCGATAGGGCACTTGAAAGTGCTCAAACATGCACTTCAAAGTGCAATCGAATTGTTGCACATTTTGACGGCACTCGGCTAGCTGTTGTTGTTGTTGTTTGGTATTTGTGTGCTGCTGATCCAGCTTCGTCGATTTCGGCTCCAGTGCCAGCTCCTCATGCGCATTACTCACTTCATTTGGCCAGCTCAACAGGCAACGGTCCAAGCAGCTCTCCTGTGCGCCGATCACCTGCAGCTGCAATGGAAGGCCATTGATGAACAGGTGAAATCAACTCAACGGCTGTGGGCTTACTTGGCACAGGGCCAGCGCCAGCGCCAGCATGGAAATGTGTAAAACGTATAATTTCATATTTGTGTTGGGCTATCACTAAAAATTTTCATTACTGACAGCTGTGTCTAGGCAGCTTGCTCCTTTATGGACTCTGCGGCAGCAGCTAATGACTTAGGTCGCGCAAACAAATCAGCGAGGCAAACAAGCGCCCAAGGATAGATATATACACACACACACGGATATGCATGTGCATGTGTGTGTGTGTGGGCTTATACAAAAAAAAATACACAAGCAAATGAGGCAATCTAAGCGGTCGTTCTTAATGCTCTTGTTGCTGCTGGCTGTTGGCTGTTGACTGTTCTTTGTTGGTAGTTGGTTGTTGGTGCTGCTGGGGGCATCAAGTGCATGATTATGACAACGCCCTTAAGCCGCCCACCGCAGCGTCATATTGCCGCCACAATTGTTGCCTGCGCATATGTGCCACGGGGCGTATTAGTAATGCCCACAGCGGCATCTATTACAGAAAACATGCTGTTTCTGTGCAATGCGAAACTCACACACAACTATACAAATACACATGCATACACACACACACTCAGACAGCAACCCACATACAGCCCTACAGTCACCCGCAGGCTCACAAATAAACAAGCTGCTCTTTTCATGTTTGCTTTTTATTTTTTACTTTTTTGGCTAAAAAAAAATAAAAATAAAAAAAAACACAAACATAAAATAGAAATTGTAGAAAATTTTGCGCCATACTACACTTATATTCGATATCTGATTTCCTTGACCACGCCCCCTTGTCATCAGCAGTAGCAGCAGCAGCTGCTATCAGCGCTGTCAGACACTTAACATTTGTGCCTGATGCTCTGCCAATTGAGCACTGATTTCTTCACTTGTTCATGCATGCAGCAAGCTCTGCTCACTACTCGCATCACATATTTGCTTATCTATGAAATGACACGAACAAATTGCTATCAAATATACAGTGGAAGCTGTTCAATATAAGTATGATCAAAATTGATGATGAAATACAAGGGAGTTTTCTTATAAAGTGTAGCAACATTTTCTTTTAATAATCAAGTAAAATTATTTATAAATTTTTATACAAATATTTGTTATGATAAAAAGTAAAAAATCGTACAAATAATTAACATAAATAAATAAATAAATCACAAAAGTTAAACACATGAATATAAAAGTTATTTAACAATTGTATATATTTATTATAAATATATTTCAAATAAATATATTTTTTGTAATAAGTAAATATCTGTTTGCTGTTATATATTTATTCCTTCTCTCGAAGTTATTTATTTAATTATTATTATTATTTTTAATTTATTTATTTATTACATTAATATTTTCTAGTTATATTTTTAATATAATATATATAACGAGAAGGAGAAATGTTTAAAAAAATTCAGTACAAATTTATTTGTAATTTTAAGATTAATGCATTTAAGAATATATAGCTAAAATGGTAAGTAAATATCATAACAATTGATTTAAAAATCTAATTACTGTTATCCCTAGCAACCATGGTGGCGCAAGTTCTATTAATTTTAGTTCAAAATTTAGAATGAATTAAATCAAATCATGAAAATCAACTATAGCTATATAATAAAAACTATAATAATAAATAATAATAAAATATTTACTATAAATATATATAATAACTAATTTATTTTTAATATTAACAACAATTAACAATACCTTAATGTCCACTTGCATAAATTCACATTTGATCCCACTGTGCAGCTGTGGAAAAGTTGAAGCTTCCCTTTTAAAATGTCACATTCTCGCTTTACCGTACTTCAAAGCTTGCCCCCGCCACCCCTCAAGCAGTCAGACCAAATTATATTTTACATCGGGCGGCACTTTCTAAGAATAAAATTGAAATAAGAGTAAAAACGCGTTAGAATAACGCCCACGCTGCCGACGCTGACGCCGACGCCGCCCACCGCAATATATAAAATGCGCCTTTTAATGAAAATGTGGCTGTACATCAAAGGCGTCGAAACGGACTCGCGTCCTAACTCAGCTCGGGTCTCATATTTACATTTGAAATAATTTTCTTTTGCCAGCGTTGGCCTAAAACAAATGTCGAGATGTCAAGGACACGGCAGGCAACAAAGCAAATAGCAAGATGAAGACGAAGCAGCAAAAGCAGAGGTAGCATAACGGCAAAGTGAAAGCATATGCCGCTAAGGTTGCCGACTGGACAAAGAGTGGCCAAGTTAATTTGTACGCAATGCAAAAAGGGCAAGAACGTAAATCAAATTTTCAGTGGGCGGGAATTTAGGTCAGTTACAGGCTGCTGCTGCTGCTCAGCTGGCGGTGTAACTGTGTTAGTAGGGCAGCAGCAGGAGCATATTCTGGCCCGGCCCGGCACAGCCCAGCCCGGCCCGGTCTGGCCTGGTCCGTTCTGGCTGCCGACCTGGCCCCTTTTACTGTTGGACGTCACAAGGCACGCACGCCGCGTGACGTCACAGCTGCGACAGTGTTTTTAATGCAATTAACTGCGCCAGCTGCAGGACAAAGTTACTGCCGCTCTCTTCAAAGCTCGTGCTCTTTCAATGCGGACTCTTGCACTCGCTCGCCTGCTCGCTCGCTCTCGTTCTCATGCTCTTTAGCCAGCGCCTGGCTCATACGCCCTGTTGCACATGTTGCGCATACGCATCGTTCGCCTGTGCTTGAACAGTAAATATTAGACTTGCTTTTGTTAATATGCTTTTATTTAGGTATATTGTTGCTTGGTGTATGCAGTTACTATGTATATTTTATAATTTTAAGTTTTCTCTTATCTTTGATTTCGGTATATTTATTGCTTATGTATATTGTAATTTGCCTTTGATTTGCCTTTTTTTCATTTCTGTATATGATTATAAGAGTGTAATTGCATTTCTCGTTTGCATTTATTGTTAAATTTTACTAATATTAAGAGTTTGTTGTTAAATTCTTTACGTTTGTGTGTGAGTGTGTGTGTGTGTATTTGGTTACGCTACAATATTCTTTGTGGGGGATTCACTTGAAGCAATTTCTAAACCAGGTCGATTTCGAAATACAATCTATTTTGTTTCATACCCTCAAATAATTGTTACACATAAATACATTCAGTCTCAATTGGCTTCAACAAATGACATTTTCAATGGCATTAGTCTAAAAACAATTTTATGTGTGCGTCTGTGCTTATACTAATTAAACATCTTATTAACCTCAATAATCGCTATGGCAGAACATAACATTATATCATATTTGATATACATATACATATAAAGAGAATAAAATCTTTCAAGAGCAAAGCATTCACGCTAATGATCAAGAAAACCAATAACTAATTGCTCCAGACACATTTAATATATTAAATACGAACATAATATTTATGGAAAATTACAAAAGATAATAATTATTATCAATTATTATCAACCGTAAAACAATAAGAAAATGTTTACATCAACATCATTTCAAACTCTAACTACTCCAAATAAGTTGTATAAAATTAAAAAAAAAGAATACAAATCGAAAATTTATTCCCTCATACTCATCTTCATCGCAACTTTTTACTAAAACTTGTCCAAGCAGCAAAAAATCTTCAAATACTCATTCTAACTACTCAAAATGTTAATTCATATTTTATCATAGTAATTACATTAAAACCATTTTTTTCGTACAATTATTCAATAATAATGAACATGATATTTTCCTATAGTTTCCTCGTCTCTTACTACCTCATATGATATATTTATGCAATTGTTTATATATTTATTGTTGTCGTTTATTTTTGATTTTCCTTTCTATTAATTATTTTCATTTATTCTGACATGATTCGACTTTGGCAAAAAACTTGATCAGCAAATAATAGATTCATGTTGGATTTTACTATGAATTCAGTAGCATGTATTCATTGACTCTATATATCCAGCCGATTCGGAGCCAGAATTTTATGCAGATCTTTGTAAATGGCTTTGGCTCAATTGACATTCGCATTACGTAAATACATTTAGAACTTCAACATTCATGAATTAAAAATCTGATATGCCCCATTGTTAAGCGGTTGGCAACAATTGATTTTTGTTTACTCTGTTATAGCTAAAGTTTGTTGAAAAGTATTCTCCAAGTTATTCTGTTGCTGGCATTGAAACTAATTTTAAGCCTTGGACTGGCCCACTGGAAGTTGGACAGTTGTAGAATTAATAAAGGTTTATAGCTTTGCTCAATGCCCAACGGGTGTTAACTCAGATTTATAGAAGTTTATATAGAGTCATATATCTATTAACAGTCATATAGATTCAGACATTTAACATAAATACAGTTCTCAAATAGTTTTAGCTTAACATGGATAAGAATCCTGAAGTTGATAGAATTAATTACGCCACAGTCTGATTCTGCGTCTAAGTTTTAACGCCGATATTGAATGTCTCAATTCAAATAAAAATTTTATACTCAACCTTGAAATAAAACACACTTTTTTTCATGAAAATTTCACTAAAAAGGAGAAAACTAGTCAAGCTCTGACCACAAAATGTGGAATGATATTTAAAATGTATATTCAATACATGATATTTTTGCTTCTACAGCAATTTTTTTTCTTTTTTTTTTCAAATAAAAAAATAAATAAATAAATAAAAACAATTACAGTTGATTTTTAAAAAACACCCACATTTTCAACTAAATAACTTTAGGAGCGAAAGATTTCAACCTCCCAAATTAAACGAAATATATTTCACTCAATATAAAAAAAAATCAGAATCCATTTTAGAAACTCTATCATAAAAACAACTCTTGTAATTGCTGTCAATGCATTATCTTCCTCCAAGCTGTTTGTAGAATATAGATAGAGGTCTACTGAATCCATGCTTAAACTTTGCAATCTTTAAATGATGCACCGAAGTTTTTCGCCATTTGGTTTTATAACCTGTTGATCTTTATGATTTTTATGCTAGTACAATATTTCGTTAACTTTCAATTGCTCTTAAATTCTATGAAGCATTTCTGAATATTTCGTTTTTACGTTTCAAGATGTAGATTTTTTAATTCTGTTCGTTTGGCCACTCGCAGCGCCTAAGTATATGCTAGAAATACGTGTATGTTAACCCAATGTTGCAGGACTGATTCTTCTGTTCGTTTTCGTCTTCCTCTTTTTCTCCTCGTTTTTTTATTTGTGTAAAACAATGTTTGATAAAAGTGCCTTAATTTGGCAACTCCCCGGCAGCCAGGCTCTATCTAAGGCTGCCCAGGATGGGCAGTCAGATATCACCATTACCGTTCGAATTGGCATTGACTTCGTTGTTTTGAGAAGACGCCTCAACAGTGCTGCATGTGGTTGTGGCCTCGGCAACGGTTATGGTAATGGTGGTATTCTGATTGTCGCACTGCACCACCTCGATGGTGCGAGAGTTGCTAACATTTGTTGTGGTCACCTGACCGCTCTCCGCCTCGTTCAGCTGCCTCCCAATCTCGCGATCAATGGCCTCCGCATCTTCCGGATAGCGTTCCGAGCAGAAAATTGCGCCAGCCTTCAGCAGTTTCAACAAGTTCAAGCGATCCTCAGCGTTGCGTTTGGCACAAAGGGGTCTAAAAAGGAAAGTCAAAAGAGACGTGGAAGATGTACAACAGAAATATAAATAGAAATGCAAGTGAATGGCATAGTTGACCAAATTATAATACACTTTAACTAGTTTTTGTAATAATAAATTTCAGTTCGCAAATAACTGTTGACTCTCTCTCTCTCGATTTATGCAAATAAGTCTTTTCTACTCACACTCTGAAAAACAAAAACTCAGAGAGCAACCGATTGCATCAATGTTATTCGCGAGTTCATTACCGATCGGCATGCAATCGTTTATTGTTGTTTGGTTTCGCTCTGGTTGCTCTCCGACCAGTTAGATGTACGTATTGGTATGTAGGTGAATGTTGTGTTCGCTAAACACATCGCTTACGTGAACTGAATGTGTGCATGTATGTATGTGAATGTGAAGACCGTTTGCTTAGAGCTTTCGCTCGCCTACTGAGTCTCATTATGCGAACGTTGATCGTAAACGAAGTTTCGTTAAAAGAGCATCACACGAACAGTTTAACGAAAAGAACCAAAGTCACTTGCTCTGAGCGAGAGTGAGAGAGTATGATTTCGGTTCATTTCATGCACAAAGCTTAAAGAATAAATCGTTTAACTGTTTAAGTGCAAACAATTTTGACAAATAGCGAGATAGAGACCTAAATATGTACTTGTGTATATCTATTCATCTTAACATATGAGTTAAAAGATTTTATTATATTTACGCCGATTTGATCAATTTTATCAGCAAAGACCAAAAGAGCTTCTCATAAAAAAAAAAATTAAATTTTAAAGTAACTTTTGCTCACCTGCCCGCATCCTTGAGCTGCTCCATAAATTCCTTGCCAGTTATATCCACCAATGAGTTGGGATCCATGTTGGATAGCGAGTCCAGATCAGCGTCGTTCATGACCGAAACGTTGCACAAGTTATTCTGCAGCTGGCCAACCAGCTGCCGGATACGCGCCGATTCCGAGTTATTGGCATCCGTGGTGTCGCCGCTCTCCGGGTTGCCAGTGATGCTGCCATTGGCCGTGGCATTCGGCGTGGTTATAGTCACGTAGTGAGTGGGCTATAAAGCATATGAGATACAAAACAGTTGAAATACGAGTACGTGACCCCAAATGTCGCTAAGTGAAAACAATTAAATAGATTTTACTGTGCCCAAAGAAGGATAAAGGCAATGTTTCTATGAAAGCGAATATATATTATATTCTATAGGAATATATGATAAATAAATAAATAAATATAAACAAAATTCCCATATAAAAAAAAAAATATTTTAGTTTGTTTATAAGCATTCCCTTTATCCGTCATTATGTTTATTAGTATTTTTAATTAAAATAAAATTAAAATAAAATAAAATATTACATTTGTGTTTTTTTTAATCATACCATAATTATAAATTAAATTATTTCAGCTGAAGTTCTGTTCTACTCACATCGATCCAATGCTCTCCAGGAAATACGGCCACCAGCTCGGTGTTCTCATCGAGGGTGCGAAAATATTCCTCATCGTCGATTTCGGTGCCATCGGAGTCCAAGTGGATGGTCGGCTGCTGTTCGCACTTGTCAAATTTCTCGGCCACCTTGGTGCGTATCTCCTCTAGGCTTGCGGCGCAGACGGCTTTTTTAATGTTGCGCGTGACGTCCTTGACCTGGCAGTAGACAGAAGGCAGCAGGGAATGGAACAAGGATAAAGGGAATAATAAACCGTTACACGTTTGCAGTCACATATGGAGGGCGATATACATTGAATGAATAATAAATTAATACTACGGCCAGAGCAACAACAGCAACAAGAACAAGTGCTACATGGACCAATATAAAATATTAAAGCCGGACACTCGACTATAACAGCGCTCAGAAACATTTAGTTTTTATTCTTTTTCTCTCTCTATCTCTCTCGTTCTCTCTTTGTTTTTTAGGTCTTGCTCTCGCTTAATCAACTTGGCATTAGGCAGCGCGTGCTGATGAAAATGTTTTTGTTTTTTTGCTGTGTTGTTTGCCCCGTGTCTTTTTTGGCCCACTTGCCACACTGATGCCGACGGACACGTGAACTCATTACCACGTTCCCAAAGTTTCCCAACAACACACACACGCACCCATCCGACGGCCTAACAGCTTAGCAACTTCTGAAAGTGGGTCTAGATTGTTGGGGTCATTACAACTGCGTCACAACCTGGACAACCCTCATGACGAGAGCTACATAGATTAAAGTATTAGCTGACATTCACGTTAAGCCCCAGCGAATATAGTCCAAACATAAATTCGTATGTATATATGTATGTATATATCAATGCAAATTTGACAGCCTGTGGAGTGTGCTCATTAGACATAAAGCTGATTTAATGCCTTGCATGAGAGGTAAAAACAAAAAGTTAGCAGCTTTGAGAGCTCTTAAATCTGCATCATTGAATGTTTTCAATATGAGGAGACATTCATGGTGCTTTACTATATATACTTAATATTCATAAAGACAATTTACATACATCTGTATATAAAGTTTTAGTTCGTCTGCAGAGAATGTTTTTTCGTTGAACTTTTCTCAAAGTAAACTAATTGCTAAACTTAACGCATTCAACTTTCCAGAAAATATTACAATGAGGAAAACTTTTGACATTTTGTTTATATATTTCAATTCAATTTTTTTAAACTATTCTTTTAAATTTTAAAAATTATAATTTTTCATAATTTTTATACACAACAATTCTCCCTATTAAAGTTAAATACTTCGAGTTTAACAAAATATAAAATATGTTATGTATTTCAATATAATATAATAAAACTTAAATGTGCTCTTATATTACGCTCACACCCTAATAAGTTTTAACTCATAAACTCTATGGGTGTCTATGATGCCTGATCAATCTAGACGTTCCGAAATGAATAAATTTCTAAAAAAAAGAAATGAAATCAATAAATGCATATACTTATGATATATTGTTAGTGCCGGCAGAACTTTGTCTGGCCTTAATCATTATGGGTCCCTTTTCATGCACGAGCAGAAAAACTTGACATTCGCCAAGCTTTGAGAAACAAAAAGTTTTCATGCATGCTTAGGCTCTGCTGGACCACACTCCGGACTTGGTTCATTTAATATTTTCATTTGGAAACTTTGCACGCAAACTTTTGGCACTTAAAATCAACATTTCAATGAACGATAAAAGTGCTTACCAATCATAAATAAACATGTAACATCTGAAGTGTAAGAAAATCTGCAGAAATCTTTCTCATCTCTCTTCAGCTCTCGACTTATTTCAAAAGGACTCTTTACGCTTGTTAAACTTGTATTTCCTCTAGCAACAGCTAACTTAAACTAACTTAATTGCGCTATAAGTTGATCAAAATGTAATTAACACTTAGCGTCAATGGCTGTCATCAGCGGCACATCAGTCAGTGCCACAGCAGCGGCAGCAAATGAGGCAGTCGTTAGAGTCACATTTTCGAGTAATTTAGAACCCAAATACCAAATAATTATGCCCAAGGGACACACACATACACAGGCACACTTATAAATGAGCAACAATAACAAATCGAAAAGCCGCAGCAGAGAAAATAAAGAAAGGCGAATATAACAGGTAAAAGAAATATTGCATACGTCACGTTGCCCTGTCAGCTGTCAACTACTGGCGGATCTAATTGAGATTTATGGCAAACGCTTGCCTAATAAATAAGTAAATAGATCAAATGCAAAACTTTATTCAAGCGCAAAATGTTTTGTAAATAAGCTTCAACCCAATTTCGTATGCCTTTTGTTCCTTTTGTAATTTTTAGCAGAGTTACCAAACTGAAGCATTAGAGCCTTTGAGAGTCTCGCCTTAAATGAAGTTGAAATGGAATGTTGGAAAATATTTTACATGTATGTATAGAATATGCATATATGCATATTCATGTTTTTCTTTTTCTTTTTTGGCTACTTCGTGTTGCAGTTTGCTTGCGCGTAAAACTTGAGCACAGTTTGACATGCACTCGTCTGCCTGCCGCACAAATATTTGTCGTGTTTGCTAACAAGTTATGCCTGTCAGCAGTTTAATGCAGCATACTTTCGAGCGCATGCCAGAAATACATGCCACAAGAAGCGGCAGCAGCGGTACAAGACATACAGCACAAGGACATTCATCTGCTGGCTGGCTCTATTAAACTTTCATGTTATGTTAAATGGCGCCTGAGCGTTAAGGTTAAACTGAACATAAATTAGATGTGGGCAAGTAACACAGGGAAAGACAGAGACAGAGACAGAGAGAGAGAGAGAGAGAGAGAGGGAGAGAGAGCAAGAGAGAGAGTGAGATATGCAACAGCATCGAAGGCGGCCTCACGACTGCTCGCCAAATTTATCACTCAAGCTGGCAACATGCAACGTGCCGCTGCAAGGCGCGCCCTCATAAATAATAGAGCTGGGCGTGCGAAATGAAATTGAAGTTGAGTTTGCATTACAGCATTTTTATTACAATTACCCACAGCACACAGCCAGCAAAATGATAAAAAGAAAGTAGCAGGCAAAAATGGTGAATTTCGCCTTCAGCGACCATTAGCCGAAACAGTAAACTCGAGTGCTGAACTCAAAGGAGAGCGCCAGCTGATAAATTGCCTGGGAATTGTCTGGCCTCACTGGCATTGAAAACTTTTTCCAGCCGCATTCGCTCGAAACTTGCGCCAAATATTAATCATATTAAGCCAAAAACTTGCCAACAATCAAAACTTGCGCCAACTATTGAAGCGCACTTTTCAGGGCACATCATACGAGGAATTACACAGATATCATTTTTATTTGTGGTTTTCCAATACCTTATAAACAAGTTCAAGGATCAGAACTAGTAGCAACTATGACGGAGTGAATTAGTGTCTTTGATTCTTTGATTGGTCTCGATTGACTTTATATATAATGATCTTTGATCTATACAGATCTTTATAAGTTTATAGTATAGTTAGTCCACAGTTCAATTCAATCAATAATAGTCAATTCATTTTTCTATAAATGCCATCGATATATTGTATAAGAAGCAATCAATCAATCATTTATTGAACTTTAATTCAAATTAAATACAAATTTGTACAATTTTTTTTATTGTCTTATTAGTACTATTTTAATAATAAATTTGTATTTATTTCCTTTTTTTTACATTATAATTTTAAATTTGGAATTAATATTTATTTAAATTATATATTATTTGCTATTCTTATTTTTTATTTTTATTTTATTTATATTATATTGATTTTTTTAATTATAATATTATTATTATATTATTATTATTTATTATTATTAATATTATTATCATAATTTTTAATTTCAAATCATTATTATTTTTGCATTAATATATCAATCTAACAGCTCTTCAAGTTTATATACAGACATGCATAAGAATCGTCTGTTATACAGGGTACTTTCTAGTTGAGCAGCCTAAAAAAATGCCAACTCCTGCCAACTATTTTTTGTCTGATTGCGGCAAGCCCCATGCATTTGTTGGCCAATTCAATGTGCCGTTCGCAGATATTCACATTTTCAATTACGTTAAATGCATTTCATACAATAAAAAGCCTAACTGTGATTTTATTTTAAAAACGAATTAAATTTGCCTGTAGCTCAAACTGGCTCAATTTATTGCATCAAATAATGATAAATATTATTGAAATTGCAGCTGCACTGGCTCAAGGCAGCATTTCTGCCTAGAGCCCCAAATGCAGGCAAATATTCAATTTATTTGCGTGAAGAAAAATATTGGCAAATGCATTAAAAAATTGTACGTGATTAACAAATATTTAAATTATCAAATATTTAAGCTAAGTTTGGAAAGAGCAGTCGGAAGATACGCTTTATTGAATAAACATTTTTATAGAAAAAATTTAGTGAGTTTTAAATTTCTTAGACTGGGAATCGCATCGAAAGAAAATAGAGAATTATTATTTTAAATTTAATCTTAGTAAACTATAGACTCTCATCCCAAACATTCTTCAAAGAATACCAAACTGTCAAAATTTTCTCTCAGTGTACAAATTGAACTGCAATCGATCAAAAATCTCTGCTAATTCGACCGTCGGCTCAGCTCAACTATCGTGTAATCCTCAAAAAGCCTGCAGCGCTCCTGCCAGCCGCAGGACACTCAACACGTACAACATATCCTGTCCGCTCCTTAGCGCATCTGTCAAAGTGGCGTCAGCGACTACGTGACTGCGTCTCGATTGGGCCACTCGACGGACTAGGAGAGCGGAGCCACTCTCCCAGTAAAGGTGGGCAGATAGGTGACTGCATATAGCCACAAGTTGGATAGTAAATATTTGATAGGCCTAGAACGCAGATTTGAAAGCCGCTGGGGAAATTAGGCGCCAAGTTTAAATTACTGTTTGAACTATGGCTGCAAATTATGTAAATTATGAAATATATTATTTATGCGGCTGCCGGCTGTCACTGTGACAGTGCCAGTGGGCGTGTATACGTAGGCGTGGGCGTGGCCGTGGCAGTTACTAATTACAGTGACATGTCAGTTGCGGAACTTTTTTAATAGCATTTTGCATGGTTGTCTGCGTATTTTGGCAGCTTTTAAGCCGATTTATGTTTGCCAGAATTTTAAATTAATTATTATAATATGCAGCGACATTTTAATGGAAGCGTTCTGACGCACTAACAAATCCTGTAATTTTCTACTTGTCGTGTTGTTAAACCACTGATAAAAGGCCCGCATCACAAAGCGACCGCAGTAAATTTGCGAAACATTTGCCGAAAGACAAAAATAAAGTATGTGAAAGAAAATTTCTTGAGTTGCATTTGCTTTGGTTTAAGCCTTGCTCTGTCCAAGACAAATACAATGCAAACGTCCCTTAAACGGCTGTGAGCTATTTAGACAGCGGCTAAACAAATTAGTTGACAACAAAGGCAATTGTTGGCAAGCAAACAAATGCCAAAGACAAACAATTCCAAAGCGCTCAAAACTGAAAAAAGCATACAAAACACACGAAACAAAACACAAAAAGGAACAATAAAAGCAAAGCCCAAAAATGCATGTCAAGTATTTTGCGTTTGCAAACACACAAACGAATTACTGAGCACACTCTTTTCATGGCGTTCTCTCTTTACTGTTGCTTTGTTCTGCTCTCACAAGTAAACAACATTTAACAGCGCAACCTGCTTCAGAGCTTTTGCTCTCTTGCTGAACGCTCTTCACTCCTCGCTCACAGCAACTTTAAGTTCACCCAGTTTTTTTTTTATGGGGGAATTTTTAAATAGCGCAAATGCGAAACACAGCACGCGGTTGTAAACGATAACAGCCGCAGCTACAGCTACAGCCACAGCAACAACAACTGCGACGCCCAAAAAAGGGCATGGCACTGCAATGTGTCTGCCTTGCTCTGGCCTTTTATTGGAATCCAAACAATTGACTAACTTACTTTGAATGGCTTTCTGGAGTCAGTGCCATTTGTTATTTCCGTAGCATTTGGCATTTTGGCTCAATACTATTGTTAGCTTTGTGATTATATTTTTAAAAATTTGCAAAATTGTTCTAAACAGTTATTGGCACATTTGCAACACTGCACAGCATTAGCTTTAATTTATATAGCTTTAATTAATATTTATTTGGTTTACACAGCACTTGATGCAATACTGACAACAATTATTACTTTGTGCAAACTGCGCTCAAAATGTTTTTTGTTCAGCTTTTCATTTATAATTCAAGCGTAGTTCCAAGCTTTACGTGCAATTAGCAGAAGCGCGAGCGACCGCCGGTTTCAACTGAACTCTCTTTAACTACGACACTGGCTTTTATAGTCGCACAGCAGAAGAGAACAAAAAGCAGCCAGTAGCAGAGGACAGTGCTGTCCACCCTAAAAGCGGATGAGTTATTTTCAAGCTGACAAGTTGTATGAAATTTTTCGTTTTAGTATTGAAAAACTACAGCTAATAATAAGGAATTATATTTCATTTGCACAAAATTATATTATACATTATTTGGTACATTTATTCAATTCTAGCTTGGAGTTTGCAGCTAAATCAGCTAAATGTGGCCTGCAAATTGTAGCAGCTCTCAGCACTGTTGTTTTTTTACAAAGAGTACAGAGCAAAACGCAAATAAGAGCTTACAAAAGAGCGTGCAAATTGTAAAACTATGCCTTGCTCTTTGGCTAGTCCTTTAGCAGCCCACTGTTAAGTGGCACACAGGTGCTCAATGAAACTTGCTAGAAATTTGTCGAAAGAATTTATGATAAGATTAAAACCAAAAAATCAGTAAAAAAAAAAAAATATATATATATATATATTCAAAACTAGCTACTAAGTTATATTGATATAGATCAGCTATTCAAAATGCCAACAAACTTGATGGCAGTCAATGTCCTTGGGGGGCAACTCTTTACCCGAGCCAAGTTAAACAACAGTTAAGCAACGGTTAACTTTGCCTTAACCGGCCAACACCTATTTAAATCTATGATGTTAACAACTGTGTGTGTGTATGTGTATATATATGTGTGAATCAAAAGTAAACTTTTTGACAAATAGCCAAAAGGCATGAATGCGATGCCTAGCCCATGTCCTGGCCCCATACCCAGCCGGAAGGTAGCCAGTTGGTTGAGCAGTCTTATCGTTATTGTGCCCCATTGGATACGAACTGTTTGCCTTTGCCCCGTTTGCTGTCATTGCACTTGCAACAGAAGGCAGTGGCAGTGGCATGGGCTGGGGCAGGGGCAGCGGCAGCTGAGGGTGGTTGGGCGTTAACTATTTTGAGCTCAAGTGACTTGAAATGACATACAAGGACATTGCCTTATAGGTGTTGCCAGTTGCCGAGTCACGTGCGTGCCGGTGCATTGACCCACAAAGCCAGCAAACTTGGCCAAAATGTCATGATGAATAGCCTCAAAGTCGCAGCAGCTACTCAAAGTTAAGGTATTCCTCCTCCTCTTCGAAAAACAAAAAAAAAAAAAAAAGGTAAAAATGTCAACACTTTCGTGTAAGCACAGAATTTTTAGGCGAGAATTCTCACCCTTCTCTGTTTGTCATATAAATAGATAGCCCCAGAAGGCTGAGTATAAAACAAGCAACGGTTTTCATTTGTATATGCCTTGAATTGTTTATTTTCCTATGCTAATTGATAATCAACAAGTTCGGGTGTGGGAACGGAAGCCCATGGATATTAAATACCCTGTAATTAAATTAAATTCAAACTAGGGTATTTCAGGTGTTCAGGTTTTAATCTCATAATTGAGAAAATATTGATATAATTTATAATCAATCATTTATCAAAAATATGAAAGTGAAAATCTCAATGCCCCAAATCATTTTCCAAAACACTTTTCCTAATCCCCATTTACGTGGTATTGTCAAAGACAACGGCCCATTCAACACGCCCCCACGCGCCTAAGCGCGCTGGCTGGCCATAACTTTTGTGTTTACACAAAGGGCGCACAAACGAAAACAAGGTTAATCAGCAATTTGATAAGCCTGGCCCGCTATAAAAGATGCAATTAAGCAGGAAACTTAAGCCGTCTTTAGCTAGCCTGCAATATAACAGCGCACTGGACGAGCTGCTCTCTTAGCTAACATTTGAGAGCATTGCCCCTCACTGTTAATGAGGCAGCTCGTGCTATGTTAGTTAACAGTTGATGTGAAGCTTTTCGCCCGCCTCTTTTGGCACTTCACTTTGACATTCGCTGGAAACTTCATGAATATGTTAAAATTTACGCAAATGCTGTGAAAGTGAGGCTGAGCTGGGCGTGGCTGTCGGCGGAGCTAAATGGGAATTTAAAAGCAGACGTTGCCAAGTTTTAGGCCATAACATTTATCACGGCGCCGTTTTGGGTAATGGCAGGCAGGGCTCATTGAATGGATATGGATGAGCGGGTCACGTAGGCCACGACCCCTCGTTCATTGAACTTAAGGCACAGAGTTTAGGATTACAAACATAAACATACAATTTATTCCACTTGTCTTCATTCATATAAATATATTCATATATACATAGATGTATATACATAGATATGTAGGCCCTCACTAGTAATTCTCCAGTATTAGCTTGGGCACCACATTCATGCTAGTCAGCTCCTGGAATAGCAGTTTACAGGCATACGGCATCGATATCTTAGAGACATGGGCCGACGACTGACAGAAGTGACACCATGAGCAATAGGCCAATCTGCCGCAGGTGCGGCACACGTCCACCTCAAAGGCGTCGGATGATATCATTAGACGTTCCATTATCAGCATACTCGCTCCATAAGATATGAGACAATCACGTTCCATCTCGCCCAAACGCAGCCCACCCTCACGACTGCGACCCTGGGTGGGCTGGCGTGTGAGCACGGCCTTGGGACCACGTGCTCTGGCATGCATTTTGTCCTGCACCATATGCTTCAGCTTCTGGTAGTAAACCGGTCCCGAGTAGATGTACGCCTCCAGCGGTGCGCCCGTTATGCCCGAGTAGAAAAAGTCTTTGCCCATATAGTTAAAGCCGTGACGCACCAGCTCTGCCTGCACATCCGCCGCCTTGGAGCCCCCAAAGGCTGTGCCATAGTGAAATTTACCCTCCAAGACACCAGCTTTGCCGCCCAACAACTCCAAGGTCTTGCCCACTGTCATTCGGGAGGGGAAGCCGTGTGGATTCATGATCATGTCTGGGCATATACCAAAGTCATTGAACGGCATATCCTCCTGATCCACAATGAGGCCCGTAACACCCTTCTGCCCATGCCGCGAGCTAAACTTATCGCCAATCTCCGGTATGCGCGTTTGTCGCAACAATATCTTAATGAGGAAATCCTCCTCGGCATTGGCCGAGACCATCACGCGCTCAATATAGCTGGGCTCGGGTCCCTTGTAGCTTATGGGCACAGCGGTATAGGGCACCTGCGATTGGCCTGCAATGAAAACAGAATGAGTAATCAATTTAATATATTGAATAATATACATATATGAAATTATAAAAACCTTCGAGTGGATTAATGGAAGTCACTGCTGGCATTTCCTTGTTGATCATGATTTGTTTGTTTTGCACCTGTTCTCCAGGCGCCACAATGCCATCCGTGTCCAGCACATCGTGCTTGAAGATCACCTTATTGGTTAGAGCATCCTTTACTGGACCCATGATTCTATCAAAGGTCTGATTCGCATAGCGCTTCACAGTGCATTTGGAGTTCTTGTAGACCAGACAACGTCCATAGCCGCGATCAATTGAAGCCTTGTTTAGGATCAGTGCATCTTCGATATCATAGCCGGAGTAGCTCATGACAGCCACCGTGGCGTTCTGGCCGGCGGGTAGCTTATCGAAGTTGGTCAGCTCAATGGTGCGCGACTTGACCATCGGGGCTTGCGGATAGACCAAGTTGTACATGAGGGAGTCAATGCGATTCTTTTGATTGTAGCCAATCATGCCCATGGCTTGTTTACCCATCGCACATTGATAGGTATTACGAGGACTCTGGTTGTGATGCGGATACGGTACCAGGCCAGCACAGACGCCCAGCAGTGTAAACGGTTCAATTTCGAGATGCGTGGTGTGCGGCTCAAGCTGTTCCTCGTTCCAGGCAATAAACGAATCGTTCTCCTCATTCACATCCAAGTACTCAATCAATCCGTCATGCAGAAAGTCATCAAATTTACGTACGCCCCGCATCAGCTCATCCAAATGACGCTGTTGCACAAGTGGACGTTGGTTCTCCACGATGATATATGGCCGGCACAGCCGTCCGCCGTCCGTGTGAATGAAGATGCAGCGCTGTGTGTATGACGTGTGGATGGAAACGAAACTGCCCATGCGTCCCTTGCGGCGCATATAGCGCAGGTTGCGCACCAGATGCCGTTGATTAATGGTCAGGCCGAGCACATTGCCATTGATGAAGACCAGGAAAACGTGCGGATTATTGATGGGATTGCCGCTGACCTCACGTATGTCCTCGACGCCTGCGTTGTAGGCCAACGTCATGACCGGCCGTTCGTCCACTTCGGTCGTTATGTGCGTCATTAGCGCCAGATTCTTGACTAGACCGCAGGCTTCGCCTTCGGGTGTATCGGAGGGACACAGCATGCCCCATTGACTGGGCTGCAGTGAGCGGGGACCGGACACCTTGCGCGTCTTCTCAAACTGTGAGTTAACGCGCGTCATCATGCCCAGCGCCGAGATGTAGCTGAGTCGCGATAGTACCTGAGTAACGCCAGCGCGTTCCATTTTAAATCGTTTAATTGTCCAATTCCCAGAGCTGATGGCAGACTCGAGGCCAGCGGTAATCTGGGCCGCTCTCATGTGCTTCACCACATCGAACTGTGCCGCCTTCACCTTGGGTATATTCTTGTCCGCTATCATCTTCAATTCCCAGTTCATGCGCTTGAACAGATCCTCGAACATCAGCGAAATCAACGATCCAGCCAACTCCAATCGCTTGTTGCCATAATAGTCACGATCATCGAATAGCGTCTTGTCCAGCTCTGCGGCCATCACGCGTCGCACCATTAACGATACGTAGATCGCCTTCATTTGAAAGTTAAAATTGTCAACGGGCACATGGGCTAGAATTGTGGTCAACAGCAGCTCGCGTGCCTCCTCCGAGGGGGTTTTAGTCGTGGCACTCTGAAAACGCTTCACCACCAACTTGGAGCCTGTGAGGAGGAAATTATCTTCATAAGCAAATTAAGTACCCACAAGTCGAGCCTCACCCATATAGTCCAGGGCGCGCTGCTGTGTGAAGATCTTCAGATTGAAGGCCTCCAAAAGAGAAGCACCAAAACGATTCTGAGAACGCGCGTCCAAACCAATGTGAGCCATTATCTCCTGATCGGAGACGACGCCCAGAGCCTTAAATATGACGACAATAGGTATGTCGTCCGTCATTGAGTTGTGCTTCAGGTAGTATTTGCCATGCTTGCTCAACACCAACGTGCGCGACTTCTTCTCATGCGTCGATGAGGTGACCTGGCACTGGACGACACCATTAAAGTCCTCAGTCAGCATTTTATTCCAGGAGAGCTGCTCCTGTATGAGAATGACCTTCTCCTGGCCACGCACCACGAAATAACCACCCGGATCAAGCGGGCATTCGTTCAGCTTGGAGAGCTCAAACTCGGATTTACCAGTGAGCACACAATTCGAGCATCTGAGCATTAAAGGCATGCGACCAATGAGCAAATTGTTGCGCTTAATACGCTGGGTGCCACGTGTGTACTCAATGTCCACACTGATGGGCGCCGAGTAGGTAGTGTCTCGCAGCCGGCACTCGTGCGGCGTGGTCGCCTTGGTTATGTTAAAGCCATCGTCAATGTCCGGCTTGCCCACGCGTACGTCCAAATACTTCAGGTAGAAGAGCGGATCTGCGCCACTGGTTACAATTTCGTTGGCACGCACAATTTTCTTGATATCGACATTGATGAAGTGATTGAAGGAATCAATGTGCTGCTTGACAAGGCCTTTGACTTGCAAGAATGCCGGTACCAGTTTCCATTTCTCTTGCAATGGCTTGATAGGCTTGGACCATTCCTTATTGTCGCCTTGCGTCCAAGTGTCATCCTCCATAGACGCATCGTCCTTTTTTTCCTCACCCATTTAAAAAGAACCAATCTAATATTGTTAACAATAATAACAGCGCGTGGTTAGAGGTGGATCACAGAGAAAATGCATTTCAAATTCAGCTATCGATAGTTAATTCCTATCGATTATTCTCAGTCAGCAAAAGGCGGTCTCTTCAAAAATGTATCTCAAGCAGCAACGGTGCTTAAATATAGTCAGTGCAATTCGTGTTTTATTTCAAAAAATGCAAACAATTAAAATCCAAAATTTATATTTATATAATAAGAGGCCCTAGACCTTTTTCACAATTTGCACCACATCCTCGTCGTTCAGTACATGCTCAATGCCCACCTTTTGCGGCTGATGTTTGACCGATGATCCCCAGACCAGCGCACTGGAAATTAATATAAACCATTTATACAAATTTATCGTTAAGTAAATAACTTAACTTACTATTTAAATTCCTTGGCAATAGATCGATGCAGCTTATTACAAAAGTCCTCGATGCTAGTGCGTTCATTGTGCAGGACGACCGGAGAATTGTAGTCGGGCAGCTGACCCTTGGGCTTGGTATAAATTCGCACCAACTTCAAGTATTCCCACATCAGCTCGAGCAGATCGTCGAAGTTCCAATGATGATGCGCTGATATGGGTACACAATGCGGTATCTTATAAATCACATCCAGCTCCTCAATAGAAATTTGGTCGATCTTATTCAGCAGATAAATACACGGTATGTAAATGCGATTGCCCTCAATGACATCAATCAGATCGTCGCTAGTTGCATCATAACGTAGTGTGATGTCAGCATTGTGTATCTTGTACTCCGACAGTATGGTCTTGACCAGATCCGCATCCAGCTCTGATTGGGGCACCATGCAGTTGAGATTAATGCCACCCTTGTCCTTTCTTTTGTAGTAAATGTTTGGAGGCTTCTTATTCAATCGTATGCCAAAGCCTTCCAATTCATGCTCCAGCAATTTTTTATGGCCCAATGGTTTCAGACAATCCAGCACCATGAAGATCAAATTACAAGTTCGCGCCACAGCAATCACCTGACGACCACGACCTTTGCCATCCTTCGCGCCCTCAATAATACCAGGCAAATCGAGCAACTGTATCTTGGCTCCCTTATACTTAATGCAACCCGGCACAGTGGTGAGCGTTGTGAACTCGTATGCGGCTACCTCAGAGTAAACGCCAGCTAAATTCGATAGTAACGTCGATTTACCCACAGAGGGAAAGCCGACGAAACCCACTCGCGCATCTCCCGTCTTGGCCACCTCAAAGCCGGCTGAAAATGTATTGATTAAAGTCATATCCTATTTTAAATTAAAGCTCAACATACCTTCGCCGGTACCGCCGCCGCCGCCCTTTGGCGAGATAAGCTCACGTCGGAGCTTAGCAAGCTTGGCTTTCAGTAAACCCAAATGGGCAGACGTTGCCTTATTCTTTTGCGTGCGTGCCATCTACATGTCACATACACACACACATGCATATAAAGTAAATGAAAGACAGGGAGACAGGTTAGCTTCGTAGTTGGCAGATTTTTGACTAGGATACGCCTGCTTACCTCCGACTCGATGGCCGCAATCTTCTCAAGAATCGTACTCATCGCTTCCGGGTTAATTATTTAATGCCAAAGTTAAGTCAAATCGATGAGTACTATTTACAAATTTTTAATGCATTAAAAACGAAAATAAACTCGCGTGGAGACTGCCGATAAGAGTCACTGCGATAATTTTATATCGGATAAATCGAAAATTACCAAAAGCTGTACCAGGGATGCATAAAATACTGGCGCTCCAAAATATAGAATAACACGGTCTCCTTTCTTTTCAACTGTGTAACTGTCGGTTTTCCAGTGCAAAATGTTCACACACAAAAGTAAGTAACTAAAATATTTTCGTGAATATATACTCAACAAAATTTATATACACAGCCAAAAAGATCAACAACTTATCCACCAATACCCAGCAAAAATTCAAAGCTCAACTAAAGGCAAATGAACATTTGCTTGGCAATCGGAGCTTTGAAACTGCTTCTGGACTACTGCGAAAAACTGGAAGTCAGTTAAAGCAAACCAAATTGAGTCTCTGCGAAAAGGATAATAAGCTTATATTTTCTGGATTTGTTGAAGATCCCGTTAAAATTAAACCCAAGCACGAGTTTGTGTACAATCCGCCACCTAAAGGTCTCAACAAATCGTTTTGCTGTGCAAAAACAGAAATAACTGTAATACCCAAAGTTGAACCGCTTGCCGCGTTGCCAACTTCACCGATGTTAAAGCCTGGGCGTGATTTAGTGAGCTTAATCGGCCGTGTGGACTTCTGTATTAAAATGCACCGAGAGCAGCCACATTTAAATGCAATCTGGAATGTCTATGGTGTGCTGATTGACACTTTAGTATATCTAAAAATAACTGTATTCTTAACAGGTCAGCTTTTACGAATCATCGCGGGCAAACGAGGCGAACAAACCTTGCTGTTGCGCAACGAAGATAAAGGACCGATTCTACAGGCCATTTTCTATGATTTCGATGGTGAACTGAAATCATTGAGCAATGGCAAGTGTTTGTCCCTTTACACACATTGATTTATACAATATATCCTTTGTTGCGTCACAGGTTGTTTCGTCAATGTAGTGGGCCGTTTTATAGGTGAGAATCGTTTGAATACCTTCAGCGTTTCACAGGTAAGCCTTGTTGATTGGCAACAGAATTTCACGCGCCTGCAGAATGTTCTCTCATATATATTAATGCAAAACACAAATAGTAGTTTTTAATTTATTTAAATTTAGCCTTCCAATGGCCATATGCATCAGATATTTCTTTTTAGTACATATAAATAGTTAATCTGTTTTAATGCTTTACACATTTCCACAATTTGTACTCTCACATTGGTTTTACACATATTTGTATATGTAAACATATTCTATTATTAGTAATGGATTATAGTTAATATTTAATTTAATCTACATATATATTTAATATACAGTTTAATTTCAAGTTTGACGCTGAGCTTCTTTTAGCTTTTACTAAATTTGTTGTTAGGTTTTTGCTTCAGGAGCATTGCACAAGCCAAACATATATTTATATATATTTTATATAATACTTCATTTAAGTGAAAAATAAATTATTATTTTTTAATTGGACTGAATCGAATACTTAATACTGCTGCCATAATTGACTATAAGGAAATTCTTTTCTCACAAATGTGAATATGTAAAGAATGTAACGATAACTCCCACGGCCAGAGCACAGAAATAGTTCAGCTGCATTGAGGATTTGTTTTGGCGAGAGCTGCAATGGAAGCGCTTGTAGCAAAGAAAATATTGATTTACTTTATTGCGGCATTTGAACTTACCGTTGCTTGGCCGGCGGTGAGAATGGTGTTCGTGGCGAAACGCCTGGCGCAGCGCTGTCCAAGTAAACGATGGCATAGCCGAACCCTGCCACAAGTAGGCCGCACAGCACGGGAAGGAGTTTTTCAAAGGCACCGCTCAGCTGAGATTGCACATAGCTGCTCAGCTGCTGCACGCCGCTGCCATTGATGTAGGACACTGTGGGGGCGGCAATTGGAATAGGTTATAAATATATACGCGTTTCAAGGTCAGTTATTCGATATTGGGTAATATCAGCAATGCGCTGGCGTCAGCCAACAACAAAATAACAGCAATAATAAACCGAACACAAAATTGTTTCTCGCGACGTCTGCTCACATTGACGATTGCAAAAGCTGGCAGCTAACAATGAGGAAAACTCTTAACTCAACCAGTTCCGACGCCCACTCAACTGCTGCACAGTGGAATAGCATCGGCGACAAGAAATTTAAAAGTAAACTATGTAGTATTTTCATAAAGATTAAAAGATTAAAAAATAGCTAATAACGTTAGTAAACTCGCTCAAAATTTAGATGTTATAAATAATTTATTTACACTATATATGTATTTACACTAATCTCTTGCCAAGTTGTAATAAAAACTTTAATAAGCATAATTCAAACGTATAACTTGTAATCTTTTATTTACGTTCTATTTATAAATAATTGATATTCGCCAACTCGTGCCACTGTGCGTTTTAGGTCGCGTGACGCGACTGAGTTCAAAATACCGTTAAGTCATTCATAATACATACAAGAACTTGACATGTCTGTAGTGCCCAATATATGCATACATACTAACTTAAATGTGTATGTAAACAAAAGTCAAAAAACGTTTAGCAATTAGTGAATAATCGCTGCTCTGCCTTGCGGCGTTGCGTATGCAAATGGCTTTGCTATTGGCTAAAACAAAATGCGCAACAGTCCATTTGGTGGGTCTTTATTTAGATGCTTAGCGCATTTGACGGTGGGGAGGATGGGTTGTTTGAATACTGGCGGAGCGTGCTGGAAAGGCGCAACATGAAGGTGAAACACAAAAGCAATACGAATAGAAATCGTTATGAGATCATTCAATTGTCCATATACACATATATGTATGTAAAAACATCTGTGCATAAGTACATATGCATATTCCGCTATTTTTACACTACTCTAAACAACACAATCAAATGGGAAACAGACACAAGTGCTACCTTGAATGAATATACTCACTTGCTAAAATTATGATTTTGTAGACGATAATTAGAATGACAAATGTGATGAGTGCTTTCAGGATGTTAATTATTGACTCCTGGCCCTTGACACCATTAGCACCACCCACGTAAAAATATTGTTTTGTTGTTGCTTTGACAAAACTACAAAGGCTAATGGCGTTGTGCGGCCCCGATTTACGCTGCTTCAATTTCGGGGTTGAGGTGTATATGCGCTGCTTCTGCCCGCTCTGCTGCACGTTTGTTTCCATACTGATAGTGCCGAATCGGCTTGCGACCAACTTGATGTCAACTAAAGGCGAGCACGATTCATGCGCTGATTACCTTTCGTATTACACTTTATATATTTACGTCTCTTTTGATATTATTGATAGCGCATTTATTAACTCTTCTTTTAATTTCAAGAGCAATCACAAAAATGTACGAAAAAAAAAAAAAGAAGACACTCTCTCAACGCACCCCTCTGACAGACAAAATAAATGCAACTGTCTGAGGCGTTGCCAAGCTGCGTGCGCATAGTGGCAACTCTCAATAGTTCAGTGTTACCGTAGCTCTCCATAATTAGTACGCGCGTACCTCATAAATTTGAATGATTTCTTGGACCATTTTATTCTTATTACTTTGTTTAAAATAATTATTTGTATTTGAAAAACAGTATTAATAGTTAAATGTACAATTTTGTTTTCTTCAATATTAATATTACTTCAATACGCTTACAACAATGTTCTTCAATTGTTTTAATACATTTTGAATGCATTCTCAGTGTTTTATGAATATGTATATGTGTATATGTTTTATAAAGTATATTATGATTAATCACGCATTTTATATTAACTAAATTTTAACTGCGTTCATAGAAAAGTTAATATTAATTTCTTAATAAGGCTCTGTTACTTTACGTCGGGGTATACTTCAACTAATTTGCATTCTAACTTCTTTTTCTTTTTCTTTTTTTTTTTTTTTTTTTTATTCGATAAATTTGTGGTAAATATCTAAAAGTATTTTTTTTTTTTTAAATAGTGCAAAAGGTTTACAATCAAACAAGCCAAAAGGAGCATAATACAAAAACAGTACACAATTAAAATATATAATAGAATAATAATAGAGGTAAAACTATGCTCTCTCATATAATTAGAACTAAAATTAACAAAATAGGCGACATTATTAGAGATTGGTATGTTGCCATGTTGGTTGATTGGTCTGTTTGCTTGCTGCATCGATCCACACACAACACAAATTACAATAATTTCAAGGATGCAATTGTCTGTCGGCTGAGGGTTTTGCTGTTGGTCCGTGGCGTGAGTATGTGTGTGTGTGTGTGTGTAAGTGTATGTTCTAATCGTAGTACCCATCTACGTCTTAAATATTTAGTTAACTTAGGGCCTAAACTAACACTATACTAACAAGTAGCCGTATTCTGCTCTACGATTTCGCAGGCGCTGCGGCACCGCCGCGCGTTCGCTTAGTCATCGGCTCTGTGGTGTCTGCGGCGCGTATGTTATCAAATAGATTGTTCTCCTATTAAAAAGGGGCAGTAATTACTCAGAGTTCTTTTTTTGGTTATGGTTATCAGTGACAATTTACCTGTGAATTGTCATCATCCATGATTGCCAATGCTGCAGTCCGTTTAGAACTGGCCGCAGTCGCATGGGACGATGCCGTTGCTGACGCTTTGCTTGTCTTGGCACCCAATGTGTACACGTCCAAGGGTATATAGACTTCATTGTTCTGGAAATTTGCAACGGCGGGCAGTTTATAGTACATTTCAGGCAGCGCCAATGGCATTGAGAATGCGCTCGAATTGCCATCACATTGACCAACTTTAGCATCGATAATATGCATAGCGAGATCACAGAGCGCCCACATTTTCTATTTTAACAAAGTGAATGTTAATATCAAGAGATGCCAATATAGAGAAGAAAAAACTTACATAGTTATTTTGCATTCTATCCTTGTCCGAACTCTGACTGTACTCGCGGTGTTTAATCAGATGCAGCAGTTGCTTATAAAAACCATACACAAATGATTCCCGTTTCGCCATCAGTGGCTCAAGTATGAAGCGCAAACACTTCTCCATATGGCGCAGCTGCACATAGTCCTCATGATTCGTGAAGCTAGGATCATGCACCAGCACCGGAATGGCAAAGGCCAGCATGTAGTCAGGTAAAATATGCAGCGATTGCGATTCTGTAGAGCTATCCGGTGCTATATAAAATAATAATCAATATTAGTATTCCTTCAGGAATGGCATACCGCCTAGCTTACAGGTCATGGCCACAGTCTTAAGATACTCCCGTCGCCTATTCACATCCGCCTCCACATAATGACGTATTTGATCTTGTAATCTAAAATAAAATGTTATATATATTATACATAGTTATTTGAATTACTTCAATAGTCAAGTACTTACTTTCTATTGGTCTCCTTGCCGCTCAACACATAGTAACCCATAAAGTCCAAGGGTAGGCAATGGCGCGGCAGACCCCGACCCAGTCCCTTATGCAGTTTTCGGGCAAATATCTCACGCACCTCCAGCACCGGATCCTCCTGCAATAGGAAATTTAATTTAATATATACTTGCTTAAATTTTTAACTATAGGTACTGACCATTAGCTGAGAGAGCTGTAAATACTGCTCGGCGCTGTATTGATCGCCAACGCCTTTCTGTTCGCACACCTTAAGCATTGCACAGGCGGCGCCAAGACGCAACCACGACTTTTCAGCACCGCACAATCTATTCTGAGCTAGCAAATCACCACGCTGATTAACAAAGGCCGCCAACATTCGGAAGGTTTTCTGGGCTGCATGCTCGTCGGATCGTAAGCCGAGCAGCCAGCGTGCCATCGTCTTAAGAGCATCTAACTTGCAAAGTGTGTCCGGCGGCAGTTCATCCTGTTCGCACCAGTCGCCTTCGGGCAGTTCGTGATCCCGTTGCGCTGGCACTTCTTGTATAAGCAGCTCCTTGACAATGCGCCTCGCTATCATGTTTTTGATGGGCGTAAGGAATGCCTGTGGCATATTGTACGCTATGTGCCCCAATGTAACAATCTTAGTTCGCTGATATTCACAATTGGGTGCTAGTTTAACTCTCAGTTCCTCAATGATTTCATTGAAAATGGGATGCACTGTTTGTGTTGTGGTCGAGGCGCTCCCGCCGCCATCCGTAGTGGCCGTGGATGATGATTGACTATTAACAAAGATACATCGCACTGCATGCTTGGCCTGCTTGGGTGTACCCATAAGCGCAAAGTCCTTGCAAATAGGTGCCAGTTCATTCAATATAGCTGGATTGGCATCGTCAATAAGCGGCTGATAACGACCCAAATGGGTCAGTGTTTTCAGCACCAACGGTGCTACATATTCATGCTCATAACTTAAAAGCGCAATAAGATGTCGCAACGAGGTATCCGTAAAGAAATGAGCCGAAAAAACATACGATAGCATCTGAAAAGACACAAAACAACACTGTAGAAACATTGAACCAGTTAAAATCTAATTTCACCTACGCATAACAATTTAAGGCCGCGTTCGCCTGCTTCGTGCGATGATATTCCAATCTCATGGCAAATGTCACCGCCCTGAATACACTGTTCGATCAGCCTGTAAACGTCATAGAGTAATTAAGCATGGATTCAGGTTTTTCAGATAATTGGATTATTAATAAATGCTAATACATGTGGGTGGATACACATTTTGTATTTTATGATACAACTTACCCGATTAGCACTCCAATTGACTCCTTGTCCACCATGACGGAGGCCACGCGTTCAATTAGCATTTTGACCGTATTATAGTAGAGATTGGTCATTACATGAGCGCCAAGCTTTTTGAGCAGCACGCTCATTGTGTCAGCGCATTCGCGGCAACTGACATCCCGCTTAAGAACAATGTTTATACAGCGTAGTAGCTGAGCATCTTTGCGCAAATGTTGACTGAACTGTGTGATAAACTCACTAGCCTTCAGCGGATCCGGCAGCAATCTAAAAGCATAAATTATAGCTTTACTTAAAGAACTATAATTATATATTTCTGTGCTTACTTGGCAATGTTGGCCTGCTTTGCGGCCAGTTGACTGAGCACACGAGGCGTAAATTCCTTGGAGTGATGCAGCTTAATCCAATCACTTACCGTGTGCCGTGATTTCATTTGATTCTTTTGCAACTCGACAAACGCTTTTGTTGCATTCGTATCCAAATCTCCTAGTAAATGATAGAGCTTCTTCATACGTTCCTCTGGTGCTAGTTTATAAGGCACCAGACAGGTGATAAGCAGACGCTCCACCATCAGTTTATCCTCCAGGCACAGTTTGTAGTAGCCATGCATGATTTTGTTCTTAATCCAATCTACTTGGCTTTTCACATCATCACTCAAATCGTTTGGCTCGCAGATTGCTCGCTTATAGATGTACCCTAAGCCGTTCATAGCATCACGACGTATTTTATATTTTTTGTCCATCGTACGTTCACGTACAATTTCTAATAGCTCTGGCGATTTAACGACAATGTCGAAATTACGCTTCCCGGTTTCCACAATCGCCATCACGACCTCATGGCGCACCAGCTCGTCCAGATCGTGATGGCGCATCCGTAGCTTTTCGGTTATTTCAGCCTGCAGATGCGGATGATTGAGCAAAAAGTGCATTGACGATTGAACGCATTTAACGCGAACTGGTTCAGTAATGTCACAAAACCGGCCAAAGAATACACGCAATAGCGATGGATACTTCTTAGACAATTGTGAATCCTTCTCGGAGAACATACGCGCCAGTAATGTTGTAGCTTCTGTTTATTGAGAAGAGAAAAGTTACATTCGTATTTTCAGGCTGAAAAAAACAAAACCGCACTTACTCAGTCGCTCAGCATCGTCGGTGGAGAGAAGCTTGTTTTCCAGTTGCGGTAGGACCGATACCAATAGATCGCTGTTGATTTGGTTAAGCTCATAGATTAAATCATAGATCTTACTAGTAATGGCTAGCTTGTTATTAGGTTTGTCCATGACCAATGAACGATTGAAGAACTAGATGAAAGACAATACAAGCGTTTAAAAACCTTACTTTGTTGATTTCCATGTTAATATTTCTCACCAATTTAATAGTTGCTTCGAAGGCATCTCCTGTCTTGAGCAGTAGCTGTTCCGTCAGTTCATGCGCATGTTTGTTGGTTGATTTATTTGGCTCCACAATGTTGATCAATATAAGATCCAGCAGTTCGACAGACAAATTATCTGCCTCAGTAATCAGAGGACTCAAAACATCGAGAAAAAAGTTCTTCACCTTAACGCTGTGCTGATCACTACAGTTATAAAATCAAATGGATTATATTATATTCCTTATGAATAATGATAAATACTTACTTGATAATCTTAAAAACAGTGCTGAATAATTCATGGAATATTTCTTGGCAATCTTCCAGTTCGAAGCACATATTAAATGACTTGACAAATGCTAGATTTTCCAGCAAGTAAAAGTATCGCTTAAAAGACGGATCCCGCGGATCCTTTAGACCATGGAGTTGCTTGATAAAAAACTTAAAGATCGCTTTGATTTGATCTTGTTCCTTGTAGGGGGCTTCAGGCGCGTATACACGCAAAACATCCGCTATGCAGCACGCAATCAACAATTGGACATCTTTCGACTGATGCTGCATAAAGAAATCATCGAGTAGGTGCAAAGCTAATGGTATATACTGCTGGTGCAGGTTGTCATCCTGATCCATAGTCTGTAGTACATTGGCTAAAGTCTGTAGATTTAGACACATAAGAAAATCAATCAATCATGACATAGAACTAATCAGCAACACAAACCTTAAGTCGACGGATAAGCTCGTCGGTGCCTAAATCCTCAACCAACGGCCGACAGCCGTTGGGATAAACAATATCAGCCATTGTTTTGCTGCTGCTAAAAGCTCTCTCTCTCCCTCGCTCGTTCGACACAAACTTCTCTGCAGACAATATGCAACTGTGAATGTAAACAATGAAGGCAAAAAATAAAAACAATTACAGTCAAGAGCGACGCAAACCGAATGCACTTTCTATGTTAATAATAGAGGGCATATATATAATATTAAGAGCCAAAAACAAAAGCAAGCGTGACCCTCAAGTTGATAAATAAAATAAAAAACAAAAAAAAAAACACACTGCAGCGCCAAAGCAGAGCGGCAGCATTGCCAAATCAACGATTACAGCGGGCGGCAGCATTGCCAAGCCGTTCGCTTATGACATACACACACTCACATAGCTATATATACGCAAACTACTAACAACTTAAGACACAATGTTTTTCTTTTGAATTACACAAATAATATAAAAATGACACAACAATATTTTTTTCCAGAACAAGAACTATACGGCATTTTCACAATTATCGTGCAAATTTGTTTCACTTTGCAGCTGCAAGTATTTGGCAGAGCTGGTCTTACTTTTCACTTTTTGAGAGCAGCAGCCAGCGGTAAAAAAATTGCCAATTCTTTTAGTTTAGCCCGAAGTATTGTAGCACAAGCAAGATGCGTTATAATCAGAGCACCATTTAAACACTTTTGACACTTATTTTGTCATTTTCATCTGTCTTTATTATTTCAGCTGTTAACTATGGAGCGTTTGTTGTTAGCAAGAAAAATTTTTAACAGCGCACTTTTTGTGCGGAATGGCACGCCATTACTCTACTGCACAATGTGGACAGACTGTAGAAAGTGTGGCAAATGGGCACCAATCGGACAGAGTTGCTTTTCAATACATTGGCTCAAGTTAACATATATATGTTAGCGCCAATTGGCTGGCGTTAACATACTGTTGCCTGCCTTAACAGCTGAACGCCTATATATAAATGTTTTTCTTATCTGTGTTGTTTTAAAAGTGATAATGTATTGTTTTGAAACACTGACCGTTAGTGCCTACGGCACAAACTTTAACGGTAGTATTCGGGCTTTAACTTGTTAACTGGCAGCTCAACACTGTCTCATGACAACCAGCAGGCGCGCATTGCCGCCAGCGTCGCCAAGTGGAAATAAACAAAATAAACAATCGGCAACGTTGGTAAGTGCACGCGTTCCGTTGCATCGCTCTAATTATCAGTCACAGCCCTTGTAATGCTCTTTAATTTAATTAGGCAGAACAGCGCCGTGTGCCTCTCCCCCAACGCAAGCGAACCAGTTGCCGATGCCAGCTGCATGCGGTGCCAGCGTCCTCTCAAATCTGTCAAAAAATTTATTAAATATATATATATATTTAATATATTTTTAGGCATATTGAAAATCATAAGTATAAATTGTGTAGTTTTCTTAAATTAGACATATTCAGTGAACGCAATAGTTTAAAGAATATATAAAAAAAAAACTGCATTTTCATACAACGCATAATTAATCCATCAACGTAGTGAAGCCCAACGTTAAGCATAATTATGGCTTCTGTGCGGCTCGTAAATAGGTATTACTATCTATTCTATATGTACATATACTCAAGCATTTCTGACTATAACAACTCCATCTCTTGAAGACTTTTCTGTCGAGGGATTATTGTGGTCACTCTATTCCTGATATTCTTCAGCGAAGTACTTATATACTATATAGCACAATCTAGCTGGAAATCAATCGATTGTAAACTGGGTAGGAACATTACTATATCTTATCCATGAAAATTAATATGACATTTGTTGTGAATTTCTTTAGAAAACTGCACCCGTCTACTGCTCATAGCCGATCCACAAATCCTGGGCAATGCCTACGATCAATCCCCACACAGTGCACTTGCACGGTACGACCTGGATCGGTATCTGAAGAAGACCTTTGAGCGTGCCGTATCCTTCACACAACCACATATTTTAGTTTTTTTGGGTGATTTGCTGGATGAGGGTAACATAGCTACCGCTCAGGAATACAAGCAATATGTGCAGCGCTTCAAGCGCATCTATAAAAATAAGAGGCTAACAAATGTAGGTAAACACGACATGCACTTTATTTTTAGTTTTCCCTGCTCAAACCAATACATATTCAGTTTCGCATGATATCTGCCTACTTTCAGCGTGTTCATGTGCCGGGCGATAACGACATTGGCGGCGATGATGGCGATTATATATCTAATTCGAATCAGAGACGCTTTGAAAATGAATTCATGAGCGAAGATCTCTTTGACTATGACAATCACTTACGTTTCTTCAAAATCAATCGCATGCTATTGGACTACACGAATCCCGACAAGGAACATAACGCTGAACGCCTACGTATCGGAGTCTCCCATGCCCCACTGCTAATTGGCGGTGGGCCGCTGTTGCGCGCCGTTATTAACGATTTGGATCCACATATACTGTTTACAGGACATTGGCATGAGTCGCGTATATTCGTCTATCCGTCGATAAAGGCGATCCAATTCTATGAGAACGATGTGCGGCATTTCGATCTGAAAGCCCTGAAAGAGACGGAGCACAGCTACCTGGAGATAATGGTGCCAACATGTTCATATCGCATGGGTAAATTTAAGATTGGCATAGGATATGCCGTGCTAGGTGAGTGTGGAATAATCTTATATGAATATATATACATCTCATACTCATGTCACACATATTTTAGAAAACTACAATTTAAGCTATACTGTGCTGTGGCAGCCCAATCGGTTTATATTTCTCTTCAGCTATCTGTTTTGGGGTCTCTTTGTGCTGTGTAGTGCCATCGTCTACAAAATGATGACACGGTGTCCCTTCCGCGTGGCCAAGCGGCAATCACAATATAGTCGCGTCTCAACCAATCATAATTTTTAGACTTAAATTACCAACACATTTTCAATCAGTACTTTTTTAATTTCTGTATAATGCTATAGTACAATTTTGCCAAATAGGAACTGACAAAGCCAAACAAAAGTTATAGAGATTATTAAAAATGGCATAAATACAAGAATTTTTAATTTCTCCATACTAAACAGTTTGCTACCTTTTTTGGTAGTATGCGTGTGCGGCGGCTTTACAAAAGAGGAGTAGAAAATGTAGGGTTGCGCAGAGTTGCATTCAGCGCAGAGCAAATACTGGGTTCAGTTCCGAGCGCATGCGTTCACCGGCTCGTGCCGCTTGCCAGCCTTAAATTAGCTCGCTGCGGCGTCAGTTGAATTTTGGATGCGAACGCACGAGGTTGCCGGTTCAGCGTGCTCTGCTCTTCGGTCTCTACGAACCATGCAGCAGGATAATTAAGCGTGACGCGTGTGCGTAACATAAAAATAAACATTAAGCGGCTGTTGGCCCGCCACTGTGCGTCGTCAAATGAAACTGAAGCTGTGTAAAAAGGAAAACTCACAAGAACAAAAAATATAAAAATAAAATAATACATAAAAAAAAAGGAATTAAAAAAAAAAAAAATAAAAATAAAGAGGCGAACGGAAACCCAAAAATTCCTGCAACACAAATCATAAAACGCAGGGGCCGTCCGTACACCGGTTTTTGTTTGTTGGTTGGTTTCTTTTTTTTTTCCATTATTTTTTGCGCGCGACTCAAAGAACCCAGAAACAGCGAACAGCAAGAGGAGAACGCGCAAATCAAAGAAATTCTTCAACTCACGCCATGATCAAGTCAGAGATAAAGGTGAGCCGGCTGCTGCTGTTGAGCTCCGCTCTCATCCTCTGCTCGTGCAGCTGTGTGCGCGGTAAGGTTATCAATTTCATTGACAGCGATGAGTCAACATTGCTGACCACAAACCAAAATGTTGATCGCATTATCCACAGGCGCGCCAGCAGCAGAAACGGATGTCGGCATTACCCAAGGCCCGAGCGGACGCATAACTGTTAAGGAGCAGAGCCCCATCCAAATGCCTTGCGTCTACCAGCTGCCTGAGTCGTACAGGCAGGGCAACAGCGTCACGCTACGCTGGCGCAAGGATGGCAAGCCGTTGCGTCAGGTGGAGCTGGGCCTGGGCAGCAGCACCACCAGCGAGCCGCAGCTGGAGACATTGCTGCGGGAAGATGCCCGTCTCACGCTCAACAAGGAGACCGGCTCGCTGCACTTTGCCAGCGTTTTGGCCAGCGACGCGGGCGTCTATCAGTGCCAATTGCTTGTTGAGGGCCAGTCGGCGGTCACCTCGGGCAGCGGCACCCTGGAGGTGATTGAGCAGCTGAAGTTCATGCCGCAGCCGACCTCAAAGAATCTGGAGCTGGGCAGCACGAGCAAGGTGCATTGCAAGGCGCAGGGCCGACCCGCGCCCCAAGTCAAATGGATGCGGGTAAGTTTAGAATAGGGATTCCCACAGATCCCGATCCCGATCTAACCCGATTCCGATCTAATCCGGCAGGAAACCCAATTGCCCTTGCCGGCCAATGTGACGGACCACAATGGCACGTTGATCTTTCGCGGCGTCTCCAATGAGCAGCGTGGCCAATACACTTGCTTCGCCTCGAACAGTCAGGGCCAGATAAATGCCACCGTCTCCATCAATGTGGTGGTGGCGCCCAAGTTTACCGTGCCGCCTGCTGGGCCCATTGAGGTGAGCGAGGGTGATGTCGCTGTCATGCACTGCCAGGCGACGGGCGAGCCGAGGCCGACGATACAGTGGGACAAGGACTTGGCATACCTCAACGAGAACAACACGGATCCGTTGCGCTTTCGACTGCTCGACAATGGCACTCTGGAGATACACGATGTGCAGCCGGAGGACGAGGGCCGGTATGGCTGCACGATTGGCAGCAGTGCGGGCTTCAAGCGCGAGGATGCACTGCTGGTGGTCAGGGGCAGTAAATCGGCATCCAATTCCATTGTGACCCGCATCATAATTGTGATAATTTGCCTGGCGTTCCTCTACTTCGTGCTGGTGCTGGGCCTGAAGCTTTGGTATCGCTATCGCCGTCACATGGGCAAGGTGCAGCTGGATGATGCGGCCCATGTGGCAGCCGATGCCGATGGCCATGAGCATGCCGAGCACGAGCCCTGCCTGACCGATGCGAACTCCAGCAAGAACCTAAAGAGCAAACTGCGCGAGAGCACCATACTGGAGCAGGAGTCGCAGGTGGCCGACGATATAGTCTAGGATAGATTGGCTCTCCAGTTGCCATTTTTCAATGATCTCCAGGCTGGTCTCCGGCCACTCCATAATATGTTAATCACCATTGTTTGTTGAATGTGTAAAGTCCCCTTCCCCCATTTGCCTAAATCGAAATCTATTTGTATTTATATATCTAATATTTATATATATATATATAGACGCCTATATTAATATTTATATCTGTGTGTATCTTTGTATATATCCATGTACAGTTATTTTTTATTAGAAAATAAATATTTTATAGCTCTCATAGAGCCCGATTTTATAGTGCAACCGAAAATTCCACTCATTTAGCTGCGCGAGCTCCATCGTAAAATGCTCAAAGCGTTTCTTCCATCATCATTTTACGGCCGTACATTCGTTGCCCACTTGGGCGTTTGGCGTCTCCATAAAGCACACGCATCAGCAGCAGAGCTCGGTGCTCAGTGCTCAACAGTTTTTTATGTATTTTTTATGGGCACTGCAGCCGGCAAAGCAATGAAGTGTGCCAAGTGACGAGTGAAAGACAACTCCACGCCCCAGCCCACTACCTCCCTCCCACCCTACATTTCCCCACTCCCCTTTTCCACACCCAGCACAAATTCCATAAGTTCACAAATGAAAATGCCATAAATGAAACCGAGCAATAACATTCTCCTGGGCCGAGTCGGAGATGGCGAATCCCACATAGATGAATTTAAATTTTCAGATTGCCGAAGAATTACTTTGCGAACGTAACGAATGCTCGCAATCGGCTGCCAATATTAATATAACATGAAAAAGCAGTTGATGAAATGGTGTAATTTATTTTCTGTATTCTGTAAAAAGTAATTTAATAGCTCAAGTTTAGGATATATATTTGAAAACTAATGGGTAAAGAAGTTTAATAATTAAATACCATAATCAAAATCAATTATTGAATGGATAAATTTCGTTTGTATGTGTTATGTAATATGCGAGTTTTACGAATTTTTGAAATATTTATGAAAAATTTAATAAATATAGAGTTTTAATATTGTTTTGGTATTATAAATTATAAATTTAACTTGTTAAATTATATTAAAATCATTACTTATAATTACAAAGTATTGCATTTGGGTGCCACCGACTCCATAATACCCGTTCATGCTCTAACATTAGTTTAATCGACTTTGTGAAATCCCAAACAGCTGTCTACTTTAACTTAATCGGCAAATTTTGTATTATTATTATTTTTTTCTTTTTTATTAGCCAAACTGCTAAAGATATAAAATATTATTTTATTTTAATATTAAATAAATTAAAATTAAATTTTTTCTGAAAGATTATTTTATTTATTATTAAATAAATTCAATGGAAATGAATTGAATATTAAATAAATTAAAATTATATTTTTTCTAAAATTATTAAATAAATTCAATTAAAATGCAAATTATGTATGTCTAATATATTATTATTTGTATTTCATTCACTTGCTCAACTTCTCTAAATTTCTAACTCTTTGTTCTCTTTAAGTACAGGAAATGCTCGTGTCGCGACTTGGTCCACTGCCCACAGAATTCTTTGATTGTGGCATTGCGACGACATTATCCAGGAACTGCCAACGTTTGCACTTAATCGCTTCATTTCAGTTCGATTCCCATTTGCTTTTCCATTCCCATTTCCATTTCCATGTTCATTTTCATCTAGTTTGCCTGCTGTTCAACTTCAATCGCAGTTGCCTTTTTGCCTATGCGTTTTATGCATATTTTATGGTTTTTTATAGCATGCGCATAAACAAATGCGCCCATAGCCCCAGCTCCGAGATCTCAGCTCTCCGCAGTCCATAGTCCAGGCACATCAAAGGCAACTACACATGCGCAGGCTGACAACCGGCTGAGGCACTGGCAGCACCACCAGCTCCAACACATCCACACAGATAAAAAGCGGCAAGTGCAATTAAACGACCCAAAACCTCGCCCCGCATCCCCACAGTCGCCCCTCCATCGCATGGTTACTCCATTGGCTGCCTTTGATCTGCGGCGGCGCTGGCGACGACATCGACATGCATTAAAACCCGTTGCTGGGGCCTCTGCCCTTCCGTATTTCCCTTTTTTGTTTTTCCTACTCTCTTCACTTTTTTGTTGTTATTTCTGTTTGTGTTTTTTTTTTTTTTTTGATACTTTTTCGCCTCATTTGTTTATGGGGCGAGTGCACAGAGAGAATGCAGCGAAACACCTCCAAAGTTGTTCGAAATGTTTATTTTGTTTAGTCTACGCAAAGGCCGCATTACTAAAAGTTATTTTAATGCCTTTAAATGTTTGATGTCTGCAGACAATGCCGATATATGTATATTGTATATATCTATATAAATGTATGTACTATATACACATACATAGTAGTAAAATTATACGAGCCGCTGAGTAAAGGTAAACAGCGTTATATATCGAGTGCTAAAATATGCTCAGCTGTGAATACTTAACAATTTATACCAGATAGTAAGCGTTATAACACCAGTGAATCATAAGCCTTGTATTAATAGAGTACTATTTGACAAACTAAGGGATCGATCGATCGATGATAAATCTTGTCTTCTACTAGCTCTTTCAGAAATAAACTAACTATTCTTGTAATTTATAAATCATTTGATTGGCTGATTAAATGATTGACAAACAAACTGGCAGATCGATTATCAATAAGTCTTTTCGCTTCTCATCTGTTCTCTTCAATTCTTACATAACTAACTAACTACATAACTAAAGTAAACGCTTTATTTCTAGATTTTAATTTCTGTACATATTATTAACACTACATTTGCCAGTTCTGGGACGATCCAGCTTGCTCGCTCAAACAATGAAATATATAAGCCCAAATGGGTAGACAGACATAAATCTCCAACTTTATGACATCAATAACTGTCGCTGGGCATAGGAATGGCAAAGCGCATTGACGGGCCCAACATTTTTGGATGGCGTTTGATAACCGCAGTCCCAGGGCTGTGCCGTTGTTAATCAGGAAGACCACCCCTCTCTCATACACACACACAAGTATATATGTATATACAAATGGCAAAGGCATTTTATGACTTTTGGGTGTCAGTCAGGCGGCGCGTCGAAAGGATCTGTTGCAATTGTTTTGGGTTCGCTCATTTGGGGGTTGAAAGGCATCGTAAAAAAAAAAGCGGAAAACTATAAAATGAAAAACATATACACACACATACATACATACACACTCGTAGTGCTACATTTAATCGGTCAGACCACGCACAGTAGTCAACAGAGCCGTTTTGTGTCTTAGTCGGAAGCTTCTTGCAGCGCTCCAGCGGTGCAGCCGGTCGTAAACACAGCAACCCACCTAATAAGACCCGCCCAGCCTGTGGTCTATGCGATTCCAGGCTACAAAATACATTGTAATCATCGTCAACTCGTGCCCGTAGCCATTAAGGCGCATTATTGCCCAAGCAGAAGCTGATTATAATCAATAAGTGTTGATAACTCCATTTGGCATTGTCTGCGTGGATCGAAAGCGATTAGCGTTTACCACTGATTTGAAAGCCGACTTAATCAGGCAATCAAGTGGCTCAAAACTGAAATAAAAAACAATTAACTATAGCTAAGCTATTTAATATAAGACAGTGAGGATATGAATATAAAGAGTGGGGATATTAATATAATATTAAAACTGTAATGCGGCAAACATTAAAATTCATCTCAAAACATGTTATCACTTAGTCGTATATAGTAAAATCATGTTAATCCTATTATTTTATTTTATAAAAATAAATTTGTATGATAATAATAAATTTGTCGATGCCTTAAATGGAACTGATAGGAATATCCTAATGCAATATTATATAGTTTTTAAAAATATTGGAAAAAAAATATTACAATAAATTATAATAATTAATATAATTTATATATATATATATTTTTTTTTTATATATTAAAAAATAATTTTAGAGTTATTTTAATCAGTGAAAATAACATAATTTGAAGAATATTATATAGATATGCAATTTAATATGTCAATAATGAATGTCGGCTCAATTAAATATTTTTATATTTCCTATAAATAATTAAAATTTATATATTTTGTGTATATTACATATTCACATAATAAATAATTAAACTTGTAGCTGATACAGTTGCAAACAATACTGTATTTCCCTTCAAATCTATCTCCTCTGATTATAATCCATATTTACATTTCCTATTTCAAAAGCGGCTCGCTTACGCGCCAAGCACAACCGCCCAGTATTTTTCAGCCGGCGCACGGCAACACTTACAAACAAAATACTGGCAACACGTCGAGTTACAAGCAGAGAGGCAGACAGCCAGTCAGGCGGAAAGGTAGAACGTTGCAGGCATTCCCAGTATTTGGCAGGCAATATAAAAAGCCGGTTCCACAAACAACTCCAACTGCCGTTTGTCTTCAGTAATAAACAGACGTCGAACGCACGCGGTTCTCCTGAAATTCGTATTTCGTGTATCTGCGATTGGTCGCTACGTATTTGGCTCTGCCAGCTGCACCCCTCGCAGCTCGACAAAAATACACAAAATAAAATAAAAATAAAAGTGGAAGCAGCAGTAGAAGCTGAGGCAAAGCACCCACAAATAGCAGAGAAATATAAAGCCGGTTCGGTTGCGCAGGCACGTCAAGGATGCAATGCATTGAATATTTTGTATCTTTGGGATACAAATTAAGTTGATTTGTTGCGCTCGCCTTGTGTGCGCTTCGTTTACGTTGTTGTTCGGTTCGGCTTTAAGCTGCCTGCCAGCCTGAATGCCAGCCGTGGCCTGGCCTGGGTAATTGAACTGCAACCCATTCCATAAGCACTCTGCGGCCCGTCTTCGGCACTGCATTTTGTGTATCTAGATACCTTTGTCGGTGCCGGTGTCGCTGCCATTACAATTTGACGACAGCAGCTGAGGCAGCAGCGGGCAACGAGTATCTTGGCTGCTTGTCGCTTGTCAATCTAGGCGCTGATAAAAAATAAAAACAAAAAAAAAACAAAACCACGAAACATAAACCAAACCAACAACAACAACAACAATAACAATCGCATATAAAAAAGCAAGTGCCGTGAGTCGTGTGCGTATCTTTGTTGCTTTTGGTCGCCATGTTCAGTGATAAATGCATTTCATGCGTTCCAACTATGTAAATACCAATTTAATTTGAGTGTCTATAGTAAATATCAAGCCCACCCCGCCATCAGATACAAAGCAAAGCGTTAAAAAAGGCAGTCACCAGTCATCAGTTGGAATCGCTGTCGTCGTTTTATCGTTTCTCCTCGCCGTCGTCGTCACCGTCGCGGTCGTCGTCATCGTCGTCATCATCCTCGTCCGACTGGGCTGGCAACCAAATATTGAATATTTACACATGCATTGCGTTGAGTGGAGTGCATTTTCGAGTGGCTGCACTTACGAGCGTATACCCCACTGCGGCATCTAGGGATATACATATACTACAGAAATACATATACATATACAAAACTTCGAGTTTGAATATATCATCAGTTTGTCAGCACATAATATTCACAATCGTGTATCTGTGTATCTGTGTGTGCTTGTGTAATTGTGTGAGTGCCGTGTTATCATATAGTTTGCTAATTGGCTCGCTCAGAGAGCTCTGTAAGGGAAGACACTCTCAGACACTCCACAACGACGTCGAATTGACTGAGGATGCCCATCGTCATGGATATGAATATGTTGTTGATGCTCAGTCTGGCATTCACTGTGATGGGTAAGTGCGATTCAAGACCGAAAAACAGGGAGAAACAAAATACAGAAAGCAAACCTGAATTGAATAATATTAAGTAAATATTTATAGCTAAATGGGATAAGCGATAGAGAGCATTTGCTCCAATTGTCCTTTTGAGTCAAGTAGTTGACATGAATTGACATGAGTCGAGTTGACTTAATATTTATGGCCAATTGAAAAGTAATTGAAGGGGAGAGCAGCTGCAATGCTGGTAATTAGGAGGAAAAACTAGTGGGAGTAAATTGCTAAGTCGCTTTTAAATGACTTCATTAAAAGACAATTATCAAATTGAAGTGAAGTAGAAATAAAGCTAGAGCTGAATAGTTTATGAATAATATAAAGAATGCATATAATATGAAAATAAATAAATATATATTCTATAAAATATTATAAAATAGTAGAAAATGGAGAAAAAAAAAACAATAAACTTCAAAAATATATACGCAATAAATATACATTATATAAAAGAAAACCTAAAACTTTTTGTCGAAATACTTATTGGCTAAATAATATAATATATATTTGTTATAATAATAATTACAAATTATTATAAAAAATAAATAAATATAATTATAACTATAAAAAAATTAATATATATAAAAACAATATATCCTAAGTTCCCTTCTTTAAATACGATAATATGATATATACATACATACATATAAAGCTATATACAAATATATGTATAAAGAATCTTGAGCCAAATTTTCCAAATACTTTTTAACCAAATAATATATGTACATAATACATTCTCATTCGCTGTAGACAATAACTAAACCTTAGACCACGAAAATAACGAAGACTTCTGTAATATAACACATAAAAAATTTCCCATGTTCTTTAAAATGCAGAAATTCACTGAGCTGGTTGATAAAAGAAATATGTTATGTATATTACTGCTAACACTATGCAACTTAAACACTTAGATTTCATAAATATATTTTTTTTTGTAATATATATATATACCACTATTACATAACACTGCATTTAAAATTCAATAGAAGGAAAAAAAAAACTCACTTGAATTGCTTTTTTAACCAAGCATAAAAATGTAAAATAGAACGCTCGAGTTCGCCTTTGGCTCACCTGCACAATACCTAACTAGACTGTGCAAGGTAAGCTGGCTGCCATAGAAAGTCGGCTAGCGTAATAAGTCGACTCCATTTCCATTCTTAAGCCAAGTTGTAAGTGCTCAGCGCTCAGGGCTCATTGTGCAAATTCTGTGCAGTTCCAATGGTCTGGCTTCCTCAAAGAAACCAAACCAAACCCAAGCCAAACCCAACCCAACACAACCCAAGCACATTGAGCTCGAATGACGAAACTAAAGCGAGATGTGAGCCCAGAAGCCGACAGCGACCGCAGCAATTGAATTTGAAAGCAAACGGCGCGCAAAATGAGTCAATTAACAGGCAGCCGGCACCAGCGACCGAGCTAGAGCAGAGAGTAGGGTCCTGGGCCTGTGCATGTCCCTAGCCAAAGGGACAGCACGGAGAGAAGATGATGAGCGGAACTGCAAGGATATGCCGGCCAAGTTCAAAATAAAGTCGTTAGGCAAAGAACAAGCAATGCAAACAATGCCAAGAACATAACACAAGACAAAGAAAAGAAGGAGAGTGAGAGAGGGATGACCGGGATAAGAGGCAGAGAGGCAGGACCTGCCAGGCAGACAGACAAAAAGGATCGTCAGTGGCACTTGAAGTGCGGCAAGCGACGCCGAAAATTCAGCTAATCAAATGCATTTGACGCTTGAGGAATTGAGATTTCGTAGAGCACAATTATGCAAAACTACAAGAACATTCTGTGTGTGTATGAGTGTGTGTAAAAATGTGATTGTGTGCGCGTGTGTGTGTGTGTATTTTGTGTTTTGTGTTTGACAGGACACGCTTAAAACTGCTGACTGTTAAGTAGCACAAAGGCAAACAGCCGCAGACAAAAGGCAACCGGAGCCAGAACTCGAGCTGGGAACAGAATCGTCGTCGCCGTCGCCGTCGCCGTTGCCGTTGCCGTTGCCGTTGCCGTTGCCGTCGCCGTCGCAGTCGACGTCGCATTCATTGCCTGTGGCATGGTGCACATTTCAAATCTGTGCAACGCTCAACGTCCATTATTTGTATGGCAAATAATAAGGCAGTCTTGTTCGCTCACTCCCTCTCGCTCTCTCTCTCACACACACACACTTTCTATCCTCTTGCTGTGCGAGTCTTTGTGTGGCACTCATAATTTGTTATTCAAGCATGCAAAATGCTGCATGCAACATGCCATGCCATGCCCTGCCATGCCCTACCAAGCCGGCCAACCCACACACACACGTACACACAGCACACTGAGAGCCAGAGAGATCTTCTGGCCTGGCAGCTGACATGAGAGGCAGCAACTACTATATGAATATGCAGCCACCACACAACTTGCCCCCTTTTTTTTAGGACCAATGGCAAACTTTAAGTTCATGTCGAGCACTCATAATTGCATGAATTAGACGTGTATTGCAAATCTCTAGGGTCCCTCACTCACTCACATCGAGCATTGTTTCGCTGTGTGTTCGGATTAGATGGGCCAGAGACTCGTTGAAACCACTTCACATTATTCAACGAGTTGCTGGAGCCCGCGAGAAGATGATATATGTATGTATATATATATATATATATATATATATATATATATATATATATATATATATATATATATATATATATATATGCATATGTATGCATGTGTATGCTCGCACATATGGTTTCGGGCTCAACTTTTGGATTACTGAATGCATAGAATTTTATAATTAAAATTAATATTTTTATAAAAAATGAAATTACAAATGCTTCGCTGAGAGTTCGTAATATAATATATATTAAATATTATATTAAACATTATTTATTAAAATTAATATAAAGTACATAATAGTTTATTTTATTATATTTTCATAATTTGTATTAAAGCGAATTTTTAAATTTTTATTTCGGAAACCTTTGCCATAAAATAAAATTCACTTAAAGCATTCTGGATATTTGGAATGGGTCATTAAATAGATGACCATGTTCAGCTAAGTTAAAAAATCAGACTTGTTTACTATAACTGAATCCGCCAGACAGTCACTTTTATAGATAGTTATTGCCGCAGTCAGAGCATTCCAATTAATAAATTAAGAAGTACTCAAAATACAAAACATTTCGTGTTTTTATATGTAGAACTAAAAATTCGTTTTTAAATACTTCTGAAAGATTTGTGTAAACAGTCTTAAAAGTATATGTATTTTAATTATATTTGAATACAAATAGAGTTTTATATAGATTTATGGTTTATAGATTTATCTTATGCATATTTCTATATACTTTGATTCATTTTGAAAGATTTTTACAAGCAATCTTACATTATATGTATTTGTTATTGTATATGTATATATGTAAGAAACCATGTTTTACCACCTCTATAGCTATTAAAGCTCTCTCTCTCCCTCTCTCTCTCTCTCTCTCTCTCTCTCTCTCTCTCTCTCTGGATATTTGTCTCTCTCTGTGTCTCTATCTTCCCCAATTTCAAGCACTTTTGTTACACTTCTGTACAACAATAACAGGGTATGAAAGGTCACGTCATTGGAGTGACTAGAGTGACTAAACAAGCATCGGACAAATGGACATCCTTTTACTTTGTTATTTTGTCTTTTTGTTTATTTTTCCATTTTTCTGTATATTATGGCATTTCATTGCTGTTTACTTTGATTCGTGGCTGTTTTTGTTGCTGTTTCGCCTTGTTGCAAGTCCTACATCAAACTTTTGACGTGTAATTGTCATGCACATTCATTTCGAGCTTTCATTCACAGTTTGCTCTCTCTCTCTCTCTCTCTCTCTATTGCTATCTCTGTGTCTCCTTCAGGTTGGCTGCTTCGTTGTTTGAATGCCTTTCCCATGTTGACTTGCAGTTTTCCAAAAGGTTTCCCAATGCTGACTCTAGAAATGCCAGAAATTCTTGACTGACAGCTGAGTTTTTCCTTTGGCTGTTGTCTCCTTCACATTCCCCGTGCCCGCCGCCGTCTCCGTCTCCTTCTTCGCCTGCCTCTGCTTTAGTCTGCCAAGCAAATCAAACGCCACCCATGGTGTCTGTCTGCCAGTCTGTCTCTATTGTTGTTGTTGCTTTCGATAACAATAACAAGCAGCAGCCTATCCAGAGTCTAATTCAAGTGCTGACTGTGCCGCACATAGATAGGTCTCTGTTTCGGACTCCTGATTATTACGGCGATATTTTCGCATTCATTGCGCTTAATCGACAAATGTTGCCCCACACAATTTGCTGTGCCTCAGCAGTTGGTCGCCGACTGTCTGATTTCGGTATTGGACCATTACGGAACTCGACCACTCGAATGTAGCGCAAACAAACGAACTAATTATCACGCACACGCAGTCAGGCTGACCATCTGATAGACGGACAGATAACCGTGGATGGGGAAGCTATGTAGCTGAAGCTGGAGCTGGAGTCCCGCTGCTTGGACTGTGTCCAGCCTGCCGTATCAACACATTTCTATAGGCCTCCAGAGGGTATTACAGATTTCTCACGAACTATGTAACGGAACCGATTATATACATAAAAAGAGATGTCTCAATAATACTCTAGTTGTTATAGGGAAATATTTCTGTTTGTATATAAATATCATAGCTATGGAGAGTGGCAAATGTCAGGCAAACGCTCTTAGGATCAGTCTACTCATAAAGTGTATAAACTCTTCGACGTGCTGGAGATTCACTTGTTTTTTTTTTTTTTTTTTTTTTTCTTAACTTCAGTCTGGCCCTCGTCCATACACAGCTTTGCGCTTGACTTTTTCGCTCACGTCAGCGCAATCAAGACGAAATAAACCGAATCGAACGGAGCCGTACCGGGGGCGCATATTTCTTTAATCGACGCCTTTGAAGAGGAAGAGGGGGAGAGAGCGGAAGAGGCAGCGCAAGAGGGACGCAGCGAGCTGGGACTCTGGTTGCAACAACAAATTAAATCGATTCTGCTTCACTGACGCACTGACGCACCGACTGACTGGTTGGCTGGTTGGTTGGATGTTCGTTGTTCGTTGCTTGGTTGGCTGGTAAAAAGACTCAAGCGCCTGCCTGACAGCCTTTGTGGTTGACTTTGTGGCTCCGACTTTGTGGTGTATCATAACACGTCGCTGGCTATGTGACTGGCATATGATTTGCCAAAAGCTCCAACCAACAACAATCTGAACATCGCGAACAACAACAGCAACAACAACAACAACAATGAAAACCAGAACAAACCAAATGAGTTTAATGATGTTGCTGGCTGCTTTGGACTGCTTATTGATTCCGTGTCCTGCCCGCCTCAAAGTAGAGCTGTTCCTGCTGCTGTCTTGTCGAGGTGTTTTCTCAAATTGCTTCAATTAGTGCCCAAATATAATGGTCTTCGTTTTATAGTTGTTGCTCCTCCTCAGGTTCCCTCTTAAAAGAGATCCCCACGGCTCGTACCACAATCAAAAATAATCGTCGCTGAATTGCTTGCCAAGTTTCCTTTTACTTAGTTTTCTTCCTTCTCTTCCTTCTCTGCCTCTTTGTGTTCCCAGGTAAAACAGTTTAATGGATGTTTCTGTTTTATGTGTGTGTGTGTGTGTGTGTGTGTGTAAGGTGGCGCCTTTTGCGAATTACCTTAATGGTAATCTTTATGTAGGCAAGCGTAAGCTTAGGGGTTCAACAACTATATAATACAGACACGTTTGGAAAAACTTTAGAAAGAAGTTATATTAGAATAGTTGGTTTTCCCCTTTTACCTTTAATACACGTCGAAACAATATTTGTTTACTGATATGCAAAATATTGCTCTTACAATCCATTAAACCCATCTAGCCTAGACATTTCCAAGTGCGATTAAACTCTCCCTTTGATCATAAATATATATGTACATATATACACATACATATATACACATATATTTTATTATTTGTACACTAAACCAAAAATAAATTATATCTGCCATAAATTCCATTTGCGGCCGGCTGATTGCATTAAAATATTCGCCTGCACTTTTTACTGGACTGTATTTTTTGTATAGCCCAGACACAGGGCAAGGGCGAGGCTTTTAATTATGCTGTGCATCAGCGCAGAGTACGTCGTTGTTTTGTGTTTATACCAGTTTATACCCTAACAAAGGGGAAATATAACATATAACATATAACATATAACATATAACATATAACATATAACATATAACATATAACATATAACATATAACATATAACATATAACATATAACATATAACATATAACATATAACATATAACATATAACATATAACATATAACATATAACATATAACATATAACATATAACATATAACATATAACATATAACATATAACATATAACATATAACATATAACATATAACATATAACATATAACATATAACATATAACATATAACATATAACATATAACATATAACATATAACATATAACATATAACATATAACATATAACATATAACATATAACATATAACATATAACATATAACATATAACATATAACATATAACATATAACATATAACATATAACATATAACATATAACATATAACATATAACATATAACATATAACATATAACATATAACATATAACATATAACATATAACATATAACATATAACATATAACATATAACATATAACATATAACATATAACATATAACATATAACATATAACATATAACATATAACATATAACATATAACATATAACATATAACATATAACATATAACATATAACATATAACATATAACATATAACATATAACATATAACATATAACATATAACATATAACATATAACATATAACATATAACATATAACATATAACATATAACATATAACATATAACATATATACATATAACATATAACATATAACATATAACATATATAACATATAACATATAACATATAACATATAACATATAACATATAACATATAACATATAACATATAACATATAACATATAACATATAACATATAACATATAAATATATAACATATAACATATAACATATAACATATAACATATAACATATAACATATAACATATAACATATAACATATAACATATAACATATAACATATAACATATAACATATAACATATAACATATAACATATAACATATAACATATAACATATAACATATAACATATAACATATAACATATAACATATAACATATAACATATAACATATAACATATAACATATAACATATAACATATAACATATAACATATAACATATAACATATAACATATAACATATAACATATAACATATAACATATAACATATAACATATAACATATAACATATAACATATAACATATAACATATAACATATAACATATAACATATAACATATAACATATAACATATAACATATAACATATAACATATAACATATAACATATAACATATAACATATAACATATAACATATAACATATAACATATAACATATAACATATAACATATAACATATAACATATAACATATAACATAATATAGAGTATTTGAAGTGTCTGTATTATAAGCCCTTAAATTTTTTGTGTTTTCCCGACACGCAACTGCGCCTGTGTTTATGCTTTGTAATATTTTGTTTTTGCCATTTGGCGCTTAACAAAATTGCATTTAGCTTAAACACTGTAATTTGAGCCGCTTAAGCGCATTTAATTTGCTTAAACTACTTTAATTAAACGCAATTATGCTAAATGCAATTTTCGTTAATTATATTAAATGGCTGTGGAGTCCTGCGACCCTCTACACATTTCATTAAATGGGTTACTTTTCGCTGAAGTTTTTTTAATTTAAGAAGAGTTATGCCAATTTTAAAGAGCAGAATTAAATGTCAAAGTGGTAGTTTGAAAGTTTCAATTCATGAATAGGGAAACCTTTAATTTCATATTTGCTTAGGTCAGCTATTCATATTCATACTCATTCATGGTATTCATATGTCATGCAGCACACACATAATCTATCTTTTCTTTCTGTCATATTTCATTAAAGCACCTGCGTCGGCCAGCTCATCGCGCTTCACTCAACCGCCCCAGAGCCAGGCCATCGTTGAGAACGACGCCGCTGACTTTAGCTGCGAGGCCACCGGGCCCTCCGGCGACTTGCACTATGAGTGGCTGCATAATGGTGAGTATTCATCATGCCAGAGTTAGTTCGACATCGTGACTAAGGCTTCACACACTCTTGCCGCGCTTCAATGCCATTGCAGGTCAGCAAATCGGATACGACAGCCGCGTCCTGCAAATTGGCTCCAATTTGCGTATCGAGTCGGTGCAGCGCGAGGATGCCGGCGATTACGTGTGCATCGCAGCCAGCGCGGCCAGTGGAGCCAGGCAGGCATCGCCGCCAGCTAAATTGAGCGTGATATGTGAGTACCCGAACCAAAGACTATTCTAACGCGTTGACCATGATTATAAAAGAGCTTGGTAAAATAAAAAAAAAAGATGATCTTAAGTGAACTCTTAACTGAACTTAACAAATATTAAGTCGTAGCTGTCTGTATAGCTATCGTCCATATTATATTTGCTAAAACCAGTTCGCTAGGATTTGGTCCATTTGCAAGCAAACCAATTCTGAGCACCGCCTTTTAAAGAAGAAATTTGTATGTATCTTCTAAATATTTTCTAAAGCAAGATTTTAAAAATCCATCTATATAATCTCATACATACTTCCTTCTATTTTTTTTTATTAAAAAAGAATTTCTCTTTTATTCGTTCTTTATTTTGTATATGTGATATTTATGGCAACAGCTTTATGCGCAAAACTTTTAATAGTTTATAATAAATTATATTATCATAATTAAGTGCAGTGTTATTCAAATTTGGTATCTTAACAATGCCATTAATGAAATATACTATACTTAATTATTTATATATGAATTTAGACATACATATATATTTATATGTTGTAAAGATGAACAAAGCATTTTATGCGAAGTTTTTTTTCTCTAAATAAATTTTAAAATGCAAAACTTGCAATTTATTTAGTTTTTAATTAATTTTCAAAATAATTTTAAATAAATTCAATTTTTTAAAGGTATTTGTTTGGGTTGCATTTTAAAACTCTTATTAAATATTATATATTCATTAAAGTTTAACCAGATAAATACAGGAATAGCACGCATATTTAAATATAATAATGACTTATTTGAATTGTCTACTGTCTGTCGTTAGCGTAAATAACAAGTGATCAGTATTAAATTTATGATTAGGCCCGTCTACCATTAGTTGACTTCCCTTTTCCGGCTAGCGCTTTGCCTGATCGGAGGTGCAATCAGGCAAAGGTGCAGACGCATAAAAACACACAAGTAACAAAGGCAACAACAACAACCGCAGCAGCAGCAACATTGATGAAAGATAAAAAGCAAAACTTTTGATGTACATACGTCACGCACAACAACCGCCTGCCTCATGCCCCGCCTCCTGCTTTGCCTGTGTACAGGAAGTGCAGTGCAATGCATTTACCAGCCAGCGTTGCGTGGCCAAAACGAAGACACACACAGCAAAAGAAATACGAAATGACAGAGAGAGACAGAGAGAGAGAGAATGAGAAGGAGAATGAAGAAGATCCAGGCAGTCAAGTGGCAAGTGCAGTTGCAGTTGCAGTTGCAGTTGATGTTCCTGTTCTTGTGCCCCTCGTCAGAGTCGGCGTCATGTGATTGATGTTCATTTAGTTGCATTGCCTTTAAGCAGAAAAATGCATAAATTTAACAAACAGTTGCTGCCCCTTGGCCCGCTTGGCACCCTTTTGCCCCGCCCCGCTCGGCCTGCTGTGTGTGCAAGTAAACAAAGCGTGTGGAAGTTTTATGCACAATCTGTGCTGCATGTGTTGCATGTGTTGCTGCTGCTACTGCTGCTACTGCTGCTGCTTGTTGCTGCTGTTGGTGCTGTTGCTGCTGTTGCTGCTGCTGCTGCTTGCTGTCAGCACCGCCTGCTAACTGATCAAAGAGGCTGCAGCATAACTCCAACCAATTTATAGCGTCTCGCGCGCTCTACACTCAAGTGTTTTAGCTAATTAATTAACTAATTAATTTGTAGTTTTTGGAACTTGATTTTAATGGCAGCTGGCACTCTCTGGCAACTCGCTCTGTTGAAAGGTCGCTAAATGTCTTCAGACAAGAGCGAAGCATAAGAATACAATTTATTTAGAGTTTTCGAGTCTGGATGCCACAGATATATATGCTGTGGCGCCACCGAATGGCCAAGCGCTAAGTGGGTTAATGTGTGTGCCCCACTCCTGAATTCTACAGAGGCAAACGGCGGCTATTAAAAGATGCATAGGGTCATCGTTCATCTACCCGCCAATAGATGGCGTTGCTGGCCAATTCTTTATGTTTGATTGGAACTTTTCTCATTACAATTAAATATTCAAGTAAAGCGACATTTATCAATATCAATATCAATATCGATATCAATATCAATTAAAATCAAATACGATCTTCTCTTGCCTTACGTAAACTAAACACAACAATTTCTTAAAGTGTTTCAAATAAAAAAATAAAAAAAATTTATTTGCACCGAAAAACAAATTATTATTTACACCAGCAGCTCGGTAGAATTGACTTTGTTTATAACGCAGCAAAAACAATGAAATAATAGTATGCTTGAATGCAATGCATATACAATCGAATAGATGCAACCCCACACGCATATGAATTGCAGTATTTGTGCAGTGCAGAGCTAACTGATGGCTATACGGACTCGAGCAGACAGAGTAGAAAAAGGACCAAGTCAACTCGACTCAACTCAGCTGAGCAGAAGCAATAGCAATAGCAATAGCAAAGGCAAACGTAACTGAAACAGAGTCAGACTAGAGCCAGACGACTGGCAGCCAGTCAGACAAAGAGACAGACGGTGAATATGGAAGAGACAAACAGTGTAAAGGGGTTGTTGGACTCTCTCGCTGCAAGGATAACTCAAGGATACACACGGACCAACAGCTGAGCTGTGCTAAGTGTGTGTGTGTGTGTGTGTGTGTGCGTGTGTGTGCCATGGAGACGAAGTTGGATACTTTTGCAGCAGGAGGGCTCTCAGTAATCCAAGGCAACGGGCATGCTGAAATGTACATGGAAATGAAATGCAACATTAACACGAAACATAAACATAAAATGAGAAATGGCAACAGCAACAGAAACGGCAACAACAGCAACAACAATGGCAACCGAGGAGCCAGCCAAAGTCATAAAAACCAAACAAAATGCAAAGACACACAGCATAAAAGAGAAGGGGGGCGGGGGGAGGTGGTACAAGCGAATAGGCAACCACGCTGTGGACAAACCAACCCTCAGAGCAGCAATACCCACACTTTCCTTTCCCCCATGCCACCCTTTTCACCCTGCCCAGTCGGCATTGTGCACACCGTCACCCCCATTCAATGCTGTTGCCTTTGTTGTTGTTGTTGTTGTTGGTTGTTGTTGGTTGTTGTTGTATCTGTGAGCTACACAAGTTCAAGTTGACTGCAGTTGGCAAGCTGGGTTCTTATATTTTTCGGTGGGCCATGTGGATAATTTTCATTTGGTGAATGCCGGAAAAACGCATAAAATTTTACGAGCCCAAGCTTGAAAACATTAAAGGGACACAGACAGAAATTGTAGTCAGCTTTTTGGCGCGTTTCACTCTCTCTCTCTCCCTCTGTCTCTCGCATCGTCCCTTTCTCGCCTTCAGTCTGGTCTATTTAACACACTTTAGACTAAAGTGAATGGATTAAACGGGTATATTAAATTTATTATTTTACTTTTCCAACACACGGAATAAAATAAGACGAAGGTATATTACGTTATCTAGAACATCCCTCATTTTAACTAAACTCCCTAAACTCCCTCACATTGAAAATAATGTCATACCAAAGATAGCCATAGATTCCAAGTATTATCTATTAAGGGGTATCTGCGAGTCAAGCAACTGCACTGCCAGCTTCCTTCACTTGCAATTACACGAGTTGATCATTACCAAAAAGTTTCAGCAATTGAGTAGATCTGAAAATATTTTCACTCTCAGATAATCGAATGCTTGGCGTTTTAATTTGAAAGCTCAGAGAGCGGCCAACTTTAATTAAAGATACGACAGCGCAGATAGAAGGTCTGAGCACTGGGCTTAGACCAAATGGCGCTCTGGTTAGTTGGTCATAAATTTGTCGCGAGAATCGCCAGTCAGAAACGGGACAAAATTAATGGAGATAAGAGATTTAGATTGCGAGCTGACAGTCATCTATTGCATGGTCAACGGTTCAACTTCATTTAATGATAATTATTTGTTTCTTGGAAAATATTTAATGCATATATACATATGTATATGTGAGAGGAAATCTTTGGCTATCCACCTGAATGTATGTACATATGTGTATGTATGTGTATGTATATATGTGTACATATGTATATATACATACATATGTATACATATGTGTGCTGTTTTAGTAATTTTGTATCCATATAATCGAAGTAAGTAATAATATTTCTAAACAAATATTGGATAATTTCATATTTGAAATGATGCAATGTGTAGGTTTTATAAACTGTTTTATTTAAGTATGTATGTATGTACATATGTATGTGTGTGGCTGTGCAATTGAAGCAAATACAGGGCTCTTAGAACAATCTAACAAAAATCCAAATAAAAAATGAGTCAGTTTTCAGTTTGAAGGCTGATCTTTAATTTGCTGATATAATTTCATAATTGATATAATTGAAATTGGATTTAAAAAAAAAAAAAAAAAAAAAAAAAAAACATTTGCTGAAATAATGCAGTTTAAAGCTTTGTTTTTCTACATACACATATGGACATACATATGTACATATGTATGTACATATATGGCTAACAAATAAAGCCATGCATGTGTGTATGTATATGTAACTGCGCAGTTGACAAAGAAAAAAGGCTTTAACGGTGATTTTTAAGAAATCTAAGGAAATACAAACAAACAACGAGCCGATGCACTGCGAAATTATTTATCATCGGTATCGATATATCGATACGTGAAGCTTTGAGGAAAAGCTAACGCTTGCAATTCGGGGACTTCACAGAACTGATCAGTTTCGAATTGATCGCGAGCCTGACAAGACAGCTTAACGATGTCTTATTTGATGCCGTCAGATAAAATGTTTAAAGCCTTCAGGGGAGGCTTTACGGACAGGGATCTGGCAGCAACTAGCACTGAATTGGCCAGTTATCTGCATACGCGTGAATTGACCCGCGATAATGTCGCCAAAGTGCTCGAAACTTTGCTTGGCATTGAGGACATAGCCGAAATGGACCTGTATGCGAATCTAATGCAGCACAGCTACCACGTAGATTATGATATGGCGCGTAAGGAATTCTTTATAAATTTGAGGTCGGCGGGCATCGCAAATAGAGCCGAAGACGTTTTGAGCCCTGGCATGGACGAAGTGGTGCTCGTGTCGGAGCAAAGTGCGATGGCTTCACCCCTACCAGCAGAACGCATCTTCTGCTTAACTCCGCACGAGTTCGAGAATCTTCCTTGTGAACCAGAAACAAATCACCGTCACGTTGGTAAAATTACGATGGTAAAACACAAAAAAGTTTGGTTTAAGTTGTGCCAAAAAGAAATCAAGAAAAGTCTGGAAATAGAAGAAGAAGAAGATATCCCCGCTCCGCCTATAGATCCGCATTATGTGATTCATAAAAAGTTCGACATCATCTTTCGTTCTTCTCGAATACCATTTAATTTAATGTATAATGCCCTATCCATGCTGGCTAAGTGCGATGCTACGTGTCGATACCTTTTTCCGCAATCCAAATCCCAGAGCTTGAATCATCAAAAATCGTTGGACGATCAACTTCAAACCCATTCTTTAATCAACGAATCGATAGCAACAAACCCTGAACAGTTGCTAGCCGTACGTCAGATCATAGCTGGGCCTAACAGTAGCGCGCCCTACATTGTGTTTGGCCCTCCAGGTAAATGACTCATGTTTTCTTGACCGATTCGATCCAACACCTTCTTAACGCAATTATCCATTAAAGGTACTGGCAAAACTACAACTATTGTCGAGGCTATACTACAGCTATGTCTCCAACGTGACGCACATATTATTGTGACATCTGGCTCGAACTCAGCCTGTGACACAATTGCTTTGAGAATATGCGAAGCTCTTAAGGGTAAAAAATATTGGACAAATTTAACGAAAATGGAATTTGTACGCATTTACTCGGGTTCTTACAACAAGCGCATAGATCCAAAACTCCGAAAAATGTTCAAATGTTTGCGTCCAGCAGCTGGTAAATCATTTATAAATATCTTGGAGCGCTGTAAAATTGTTGTGGCTACATTATGCGGCGTTGCCCAAATGTATTTCTTGACTCAATACAACAAATTTTCTCATATTTTCATTGATGAGGCGGCCGCATCGATGGAGGCCGAGGCATTGATGGGCATTGCAGGCGTTAAAAGTATAAATTGCCATGTTATACTATCCGGAGACCACAAGCAATTGGGTCCAGTCATAAAGAATAAACGTGCGGCATCGCTGGGATTGGACAAATCCCTAATGGAACGCCTGCTACTTAACAAGCTGTTCAAGGTGGACGACGATGGCAGCTATGATACCAGACTGCAGATACGCTTGCGGCGGAATTACAGATCCCATCCTGAGATCGTTGGCATCTACAACCAGCTTTATTACGATAATCAGCTAATACCCATGGCTCCGCTTCAGGTAGTTAACAAAGCCGCCAACTGGAGCTTGTTGCCAACAAATGGAGAGTTTCCAATCCTATTCTGTGCCACGTACGGAAAAACGGAGCGCGAACACCATTCCACTAGCAGCTTCAATCTGCTGGAGGCAACGGCGGTCGATTGGTTTGTGAAGCATCTTCTAAAAGATGGCCTCGGTGACGGTGTACAAGTAATGCCGGACGAAATTGGTATCATCACACCATATTTGGCTCAATGCAAGCGCTTACAAAATATGCTCAGCTGGGACGTGGAGGTTGGAAGTGTGGAGAGATATCAGGGCCGTGAAAAGCCAATAATCATTGTATCATTAGTTAGCTCATTTATGCGTCCTTATTTTCTATCTAATCCCAGGCGCGTGAACGTATTGCTATCCCGTGCCAAGGATCTGATGATACTGATTGGCAATCCGGAGAGTTTGAGCCAAAATAAGGATTTTCAACACATCATCAACAAATGCAAGCTGCGTGGCACCTTTCTAGAGGACATTAAAAAGGTCGATCAGAAAATTCGACTTGAATCATATCACCATCATCAAAAATCAGAAAGTCTGAGTGGAAAGGTGCCAAAGGGAAAGGTAAAGGCAGCCGATGCAGCAGCAAGTAGCTCTTCCTCTGTCGCTTCTACGGACTACCTTGTAAACAAGTTAAAAGATCTTGATATATGGAGAGGACCAAACACCGCATAGATTTAAAAAAACGTAACATTTTCAAAGCTACAAAAATAATCAGTAGCTATATTCTTATATAATTAATATAATATATAATTTCTTATATAATTACTGCATGGTACATATACATACATATGCATAAATACATAAATGCTTCAACTACACCATATATATATATATTCAATTTACATATATTCATTTCTCTGCCACAGAGTCAACCATTTCTATGAATTCCCTTTTTTTGACATGCATATTTTCTTTTTTATACCCTGAACCCATTGAAAATGGGAAATCAGGGTATAATGGTTTTGTTAAAAGTATGTAACAGGCAGAAGGAGGCGTGGCAGACCCCACAAAGTATATATATTCTTGATCAGGGCGACGAGCTGAGTCGATTTGACCCTGTCCGTCTGTCTGTCCGTCCGTCCGTCCGTATGTATGAACGCGTCGATTTCAGAAGATATAAGAGCTAGAGACTTGAAATTTTTTTTCCTAGGTCCGTGTATATCACGCGCATATCAAGTTTTTCTTTATATATCGATAACTACTCCCGATATTTTATTATCGATTAAAAACCTTATCGAAAGCTAGTTATTTAATTATATCTCCTACACCTTTAAAGCTAGAGCTTCCAAATTTTAAATGTAGACTTATATGTATTTTATATAATTTCGATTTTTGTTGTAATTTACCCCCACCCCTATATCCACCCCCTCACCCTCACCTTTGTAAAAGGCGTATTTCAAGTACTAGAGACGTGTGCTTTAGAATGTACACACATTTTCACCATATGATTACGCCCTGAAAGTTTCATTAAGATTGTGCGTCTAGAAATTAAATAATTTAACAAATAAATTCGTATAATATTGCCCACATTGCAGCGCAGCCCAAGCGCAGTCACTGCTTACTGCGCTGTCAGCAGAGCGCGTTGTTATACGTGCGTCTGGATGCATGTGTGTCGAAAAGAAGTGCAGACTGATTAGAATATCAGATTAGAGGGTTCAGGGTATCTCCTAGTCGAGCAGTCTCGACTAGAGTCTTCTTACTTGTTTTTTTTGTGAACTAAATAAAAAATAGCCGTTTGTACGCAAAATAAACAATTCTTGATTATCAATTAATTACATTTTGACTACAATAACAAAGTGCAGTGCATTGCAGTGTGGTGCGGCCTATCTTATCAGCTAACCTATTCGATTCTACGTGCATTTGACAAAATAAAACGCAGCCGGCACACTTTCCAAACTTTTTGTGGATCGTGCTAAGACAGAAACCCGATAAACGGCTTTAAGTATCAGCGATAACCAGAAATTATAGCCACACTGCCACGGCTACCTCTAATTTTGTTGCCCGCCCCTCCAAGTTTAGATGCGCTGTAAGTATTGTTTACTCGGGACAAGTTTACTTCGCGTATCTCATTCTTTTATGGCTGCCAGATCGGGTCGAAACAATTGTTTACATTATTGTGGTTTCTGCTCAACCATTCTATGGTTTAGGATTTTATTTTGTGCTGCCATACATCAACCTGTGACTGATGGTTGCCTTCTTCATCTCCTTCCACTATCTTTCCAGCAGGTGTTAACAGATATTCCTGTTGCTTTGTTGATAGCTTCCTTTCGATAATTAGACATCAATCTAATCTAGCGTCGTAAGCATACTTTCTATACCTTGCTAAGGACTTAAAATACTGTTGATAGTTACAAAAAGTAAATACTCAAATATGTTTGCTACATACATACAGCTATAAACAAACTGAAGTAAGTTTAAGATGACACAGTGAATTTATTTTTAACTGTTTACAACAAATATTCATTTTCGTTCATAAATAACGTACAATGTACGACGTACATACATAAATGTAGATACATATATATATGCATGTATATGCACATGTACTTGTTTAAACTTATTTTGGAGCAGTGTGCCCACATGTATGGATTGCTAAAAAAAAATACTAAAATACTATCGATATATCGATTACATAAATATTGATCAATTAAATTTTAAGAGGCGAAATCACAATTTGTATTTAAAAATTAGTGTCTTTTTCAGCGAATAACAATCAAATAAACCTAACTTGCATTTCGAATTGACCAGTGTGTTAAATATTATGTCATGCGATGAAACCAGAATTATTATCGCTCTTTTTTATATTGCTCTCAAGTTGTTAATAGTATGCACACACATGCAGATATGAATATATACATGTACATATGTATGTATGTATGAACAATACATATGCAGGAATTGATGAAGAGATAGTAGAATTAAATTACAAGTCTGCCAGTGCATAGATACCCTTACATTTCAAAATTTCAAATATGTTTATGTATGTACTATGTATATAATTATATTTTCAATTCCACAAACACTTTTAAAAACGCCCTTAATGTGAATGATAAATATACATATGTATGCAATAATTGCAACTATCAAATATGTACATACATACTACATACAGATGCATATGTAGTCTATAAATTTCATAGAATACGAAACTTCAAATGAAACCACCTCAAGTTGGCGACAGTCCTGTTGGAAAAGATATACAGTTAGATTTTTTTTACCAAACTAATTTCCACAGCTTGTAGGCGTTACGTGTGTACATACATACATACGCTGTAGGGTATTCGCCTAGAAAAACCGTGAGAGTGAGCGAAATATAAATACTCTCATTGAGAGCCTCTCAACTGTTGAACGCAAACGTTGTGAGCGTGTGTGTGCCCGTATAAATGTATGTACATATGTGTGTATGACTGAATCATCGCAGAGAACTTTGGGTTTTTGTGATTCCCATTAAATTCAGTTGCCAATCGATCGCTGAGCGAGTCTCGAGTCGTTTAGCTGCTTTGATTCTGTCAGTTGCAAATAAATCGTTGAACGGGGGCAGAGTGTGTTTGCTTTCGTTGCATTCATTGTGCATTGTTATAAAAAAAACGACTAAAGTTGACTTTTTGCTGGAAACAATATGAGCAGATTAGCGAGGTATGAGCCCAGCCCTAATATGCTGCGAGCTTTGGAGTTGGAATTTTCTGACGAAATTCTTGCGAAAATCGATCCAACTTTTGGCTCATATATAACGACGCGTGAATTAAACTATATTAATGCAAGTTCGGTGTTTAAGATGTTAGTGAGCATTGAGGATATCAGCACAACGTTGTTATATGCGAAGATTATGCAGTTCGATGTGCCAGTTCAATTCACTAAGTCGGGCAGTTTATCCATCAAGCTGTCTCTAAAAGCGAATCCGATAATGTTTGTACCCTTAGTGGACGAAGTTCTGCTCCTGCCCGTAGGCGCTCTGTCAGCTGTGCTACCTCCAGCGGAACGCATTCTGAAAATCATTAATGAAAAGGGCCCTGATTTTGAAATTACGAATATCACCAAAGAATGCATTATGTTTGCTCCGAAATTGTTCTCAAGGGTTACGCCAGACAAGATTGGGAACAACAATTTTGATGTGATTTTTCGATCGCCGCGAATTCCGGCTCGTGTTATGTACTTATCACTGAATCGACTTACGACAGACCGAAATTTACGTTGCTACCTATTTCCACTCGAGAATACACCGAAAATAAGCAACAATTTGGTCAGATTGTCATTGTTTAACAGTGACATTGAATCGAATCCAGAGCAATTGGAAGCTGTTCAGCAGATCGTATCTGGGCCCAACCCGAACGTGCCCTACATTCTTTTTGGACCCCCAGGTAAGGCAGAGAGAATGTTCATATGAAAAAGGGGCAAATGATTGAACAATCATAAACCGAATTTCAGGCACTGGCAAAACCACGACGATTGTGGAGGCTATTCTTCAATTGTACGTAATGAAGCAGGGTCGTATCCTAGTATCCGTTGGCTCAAATGCGGCTTGTGACATGATCACCTTGAAGTTAATCTACTATATAGAAAACGATGTACGATTTAAATCATTTTTGAAATCCGGCGAGAAGATATTATTGCGCTTGATATCGGCCACACAATTTAGGAAGCACGCAAAATCTATTCCTCGCGATGTGATGAACTATTCCAACTATGAATACAATCGGAACAACAAGAAATATACGCGCAATGGATTGAGAAACGTTGATGTAGAAAAGTATGGAATTGTTGTCGCGACACTATGCTACGCTGGTCTACGAGCTGCACGGAGCTTTCGCAAATTTACCCACATTTTCATTGATGAGGCCGCATCCGTTTCAGAGCCAGAGACATTGCTGGCGATTGCGGGTATTAAAGATGACGACTGTCATGTTATACTCTCTGGGGATCACAAGCAATTGGGCCCGATTGTAAAGAGCAAACGCGCCAAAGTCCTTGGAATGGATCGCTCAGCTATGGAACGCCTAATGCTCCATAAAATGTACGAAGTAAAAAATAACGGCAAATACGATCGTACGGTACAATCTCGATTACGACGTAGTTTCAGAGCGCACCCGGAAATCATCGGGCTCTACAACAAGCTCTTTTATGACGGCAATCTTATTCCAGTATCTCCGCAAATACAGGTCGATTGGAGCATGCTGGCAGATAGAAACTTTCCAATTTTATTTCAGGAAATACATGGTGAAACAGAAATCGAAACCAATTCCACCAGCAGCTTCAATATGCTGGAGGCGCAGTTGGTCTGCTGGTATGTGATGCTGCTCCTGAAAGATGGACTTGGAGGCGTTAAAGTGGAGCAAGATCATATTGGCATCATCACGCCATATCTAGCTCAATACCAGCTGCTAAAGCGTATGCTTCGTGCAACCAAACAGGAGAAAGTTGATGTTGGCACCGTAGAGAGATATCAGGGACGTGAAAAACGAATCATGATTGCCTCGTTGGTCACTTCATTTTCTGGCTCCAGTTTCCTATCCAATCCACGCCGGATCAACGTGCTGCTCTCCCGTGCAAAATTATTGCTAATATTAATTGGCAATCCGATCACTTTAAGCAAAAATGACAATTTCAAGTACATCATCGATCAATGCATTGCGCACGGCAACCTACAGCACAAGATGAACACGACTAATGACGACAGCATTGTCAAGCTAATGAAGAATTTAAAACTGCAAGATATTCAAGATGAAAACGAAGAAAGGGAAGAAATCAGCGTTAAATTCTTAAAATAAAAAACTAGTACAAAAATCTTCGAAAATTTTTAATTCATTTCCATATTTGTATTTCAATTCAATCTCTATCTCTATCTGGTCATAATTTTTATAAAGCGTATCCCATATATTTTTATCTGTACAAATATTTTTTATGCTCAACGGCATCCGGACAAATGGTTGATGTATGTATGTATGCGTGTGTATGGGTATTTTACCCAGCCCCTCTGAATGCTTGCCATCTTCAGCTTCAGCTCCAGCTCCGAGACACCTCCTAGCCGGGGCCTGGAACTTGGCCTGAGTCTGCGGTTTGCTGAGCGCGTTAGAAAATTTACATATGCACATAAATCTTGTTTAGGCTTTGACTTTGTTTGTCTCAACGTACGACTGCAGACCGGGCAGCTGTGGCAGCAGGAAAAATGCTTCTAAATATTTGTTGATACTTATTTGGTGGCATAGAACAAATAAACAGCAGCAGCAGCAGCAGCAACAACAACAACAACGTGCTGCGACAGCAACAACTCAATAAACATCGCTGTGTCGTCTCTGACTCCAGCGCCGTCGAGGAAGTGTCAAAACTTTGTTATGTATTTGTTTTTGTATTTACTCTCCACTGTGTAATGTCTGTGTGTGTGATTGTGGATGTGTATGTCATGGCTCGTTTGTGGACGACAATACACTGATAGGTACTTTGACTTGGCCACGCTGCCCAGCGGTAATAACTTTGCCTCGTCTATGTATGTTAGGGCCAAAATGACAGCAGAGTGAAGTAATTGGCACTTGGTCTGGGCTGCGGTACAAAAGTATCTAACGGATAGCCAAACAAGCCAAACAATGAAAACAATAAAAAGCACAGCTGTAATAGGTAAACAAATTATCAGCGATATATCCAATTATTTGTATCTATGCTAAAAAGCATTTCAACGATAAATTATCCGATTATAAATAATATACAGAAGATATTTCTGTCTTACTGTGAGACAATTCCCTGTATATATAGATAACTTTTAAGTACATTGATCTTTAAGTATTTACACTTAAATGGCGATTCATTGAGGGTCAATCAGCTCTTTGCCATCCATATATTAATAGTTATTCAGCATCGATTTCATACACAACTTGAGATTGGATAATTAAATACGTGCCTTGCAGCTAACTCGACGGCAATTCTATTTCAGCGCTGCCACGCCCTCAATAGTGTACGCCTTCAACAATAATTTTAACCTGAAGCAGTGCGTTCGTTGCACATTCTTCATTTTATGTTCTGTGCCACAAACAGTTTTTCGCATGCTGCAATTGTTGCCAAGTACCGTTCGTAAAGCGTTCGCCCCTCGCCCGTCTAGACTTGAGGTGTACGATACCCTGTGGATGTGGCACTTGGGTAGTCTGGTTTTACGAAAAGACCTGAAGTTGTACGAGTATCAACTGAAAGGGTATCTGCTGGTCCTAACCAGAGCTCCATCAGACGTGCCGAGCTGCGAAGTTGGCATTTACATATAGACAGACCCTCGCAACTGACTGACAGTTCAATTTATGCTTCCTCTCTCTGCGCCCTAAATGGACGGCCAGGCAGCCGAGATAAGGGCAAAGACGGCTGCGTCGTGTTTGGCTCGTTGAGCTGACTATAAAATGCACTTAATGCAGCGAGCAAGAAACAAAAAAGCGAATTCACGCTACACGGCCAGCTAAGAATTGCATTCAAAGTGAATATGCATCTTGCGGATATTTATTGGGCATATTTATGGAATGCTGGGTCTCAAAACTTTTGGCGTTAAGTTCGCATCAATTTGGTGGAGCATTGAAGCCTATATCCAAATGATATTTACAGCAGTTGATCTAAACAATAATTGATATTTTTTGTTCTCGCTTGTTATTATTATTATTTTTTTTTTTTTTTGCAATGTCAGCTAAGCTGCGATGGCAACGCTCTTATCTTATTACAAATAAACATTTGACCATATATACATACATATATGTGTCTCAAAATACTGTGAGATATTTGCTTGATTATTTACTTTCCAATGCATTTGATGATCGAGGCAAACATAAATCTAGAGTGAATATATTTGCTTGGGTCTTCAGATTATTGGTGTTCAGATTTCAATATTTATGTGGGGAGCAGGAAATCAGACCATACTGGTTCGATGAATATAGCAGAAAGAGGCGTGGCAGACCCTTTTCTCTCTCTCTCTCTCTCTCTCTCTCTCTCTTTCTCTCTCTCTCTCTAAAGCGCATGCAAACATATATGTATGTATTTAATTTCTGGTTAGCACTGCTTTTTTCTCTGCGGTTTCTATGTAAATTGTGTAATGCTAAATTAAGTTACCACTTGGTAGCAGAGTATCTGTTTTATATAATATATATAAATAAAAATAAAATAAAAAAAAAACTTGTATATTTACTTGCTTTGTTTAATAGCTTCATATTATTCTAGCAGTCTGTATCGAATGACTATATCATCTAGCTGTCGTTAAGTAAACATATAGTGCTTAAATTAGGATGTGCTTATCTTAATATAACACTATGAAAAGCAATGCTGCCATAGTTAAGCAGATATGGTATCAATTTTTATAGTTATATTGCAAATTTCATATATATGTATATATACATAAATATACACATACTCATTTCTCTTAGTTCTCAATTTGAAATTCATAAAATATCCAATTCGAGTTTATTGCAGATTAAAATTAATTTTCCTCCCTGTTCTCTTCCATTCACAGTCCTGGATGCGGTCACTGTTCAACTGTTGGGCAGTAATCGGAACGAGCTGTTGCTCAAGTGCCATGTGGAGGGCGCCTCTGGCGATGAGCCGCTGCAGATCGAATGGTATCGCGACAGCGCCAAGCTGAGCAGCTGGCAGAACGTGGAGTTGCAGCAGCATCGCCTGCTCGTCCGCCAGCCAAGCAGTGCCGATGACGGACTCTATCGCTGCATTGCATCGAATGCGGCGGCTCGTGTGATGAGCAAACAGGGCTATGTGTATGAGCATCTGGCTAGTGTGGCGCCTGGGTCCACCAAGTGCCTGCCCAAGTTGAAGAGGAACCAAAAGATGCCCGAGTCCTGGGGCAAGCAAGTGTTTCTGTGTCGCGGCAAGCGTGGCGGCTCCACAGGCATGGATCAATCGCAGTCACTGCCGCCGTCGCCCGAAGGGCTGCGCATCGTTCAGGGACCCAACGACAAGCTGATCATCAAGGAAGGCGAGCCGACCACCCTCAGCTGCCTCTATGAACTGCCCGCCGAATTGCAGAATCAACGCATTCAGTTGCGCTGGCGCAAAGATGGCAAAATTCTGCGCCATGTGGAGCTGGGCGATGCAGTTGTACCCGGTCTGGCGCTGGACCACGGCAAGGATGCACTGGTGCGCGAGGACGGACGCTTGGTGCTGCACAAGCAGAACGGCACGCTCAGCTTCAACAGCATCATTGCCAGCGATGCGGGCCAGTATATGTGCCAAATCCAGCTGGAGGGACATGCGCCAGTCAACTCGGCACCCGGCGCGCTGGAGGTCATTGAGCAGCTCAAGTTCATGCCGCAGCCAACATCCAAGAATCTGGAACTGGGCGCCCTGGGCAAGCTGCACTGCAAGGCGCAGGGCACGCCCACCCCGCAGGTGCAATGGCTGAGGGTGAGTAAAGGATCAAAGGGCTTATTAACGGATTTTCTTGTTAATCTGGGTAGAACGCTCCAACAGTCTCTTCCTCCATTTATCATCCGGCTGACTGATTTCAGTAATTGACATTTGTATACATCAAATCAAATTTAATGGCCAGAACTCGTTTATCTTTGCGTCTACCGATTCAGCAAATGTCACAAGTCAGTTACCCATCTCACTAAATATTCCAACTCCAAACTGCCTCTCGCTCCCGTCTGGTCGCTCGCTCTCACCTGTCCGGCTGACAAATTGAAAAACGCAACGCGACGCTGTGTAAACTTTTCTTTCAACGAACATTTCATATGCAGCGCCCCTATTGAGTAGTCCTGCTAGACTAGCTAACCCGTCCACTCCGGCCCAGCCCTTTAGTGCTCTTCTAATATTCGCTTCTCGCGCGTTGTTTGCAGCTGTTGTGCGAGAACCAACCAATTTTGACAACTGTTTGTCCATTTGCTGGAAAATTGTCCAGGGCCAAAAAAAAAAAAGAACAAGTAAGAAAACTTTAGACGGGATTGCACGACTACGAGCTACCCTGAACGTACTGAGAGATTATAACAAAAATCGAAATTCTACAAAATACACATGAACCCATATATAAAATTTAAAGACTCTAGCTCTGAAGATGTAGGACATATAATTTTTTTATAACTAATTTTTGATAAGGGCTTTAATCAACAACAGTTAATTAGCACATTTAACCTTCGATAAGATATATATATAAATTATATAACTTATTTTAAAAATGTTTCTGCTCTATAAATATATATGGGAGTAGCTATCGATACTTTAAAACATGCTCGATCTGCGCGTGGAATATCCGAACTAACGAAACAAAGTTTCGAATCTCTAGCTCGTATATCTGCTGAGATCGACGCGTTGAAACACACGGACAGACGGACAGAGAGGCAAACGGACAGGGCTATAACGACCCAGCTCGTCGGGAATATATACACTTAATGGCCTCTGCCACGCCTCCTTTGGCCTGCTACATACACCTTAACAAAACCTTCATACCCCGATTTCCCACTTTCAATGGGTTCAGGGTATAAACAAAAACGCTAGCAAAAAGTTAAAATGCCAACGATTTTTTCATTTGGCTGCCGTCGAAAACAAACGCACCTCTTACCATCCAGATGCAGGTGCAGGTTTTTGCATTTTCGATGAAAACACGCACGTCGAGTTGGTCTTTGAAATTGGTTTGTAATAGTCCATGTACCTTCTGTCTACTACCTACACAGGATGCGGCGAATGGCAGCCTGCCCGAGCACGTGGACGACATCAATGGCACTTTAATCTTTAGGAATGTGAGCGCCGAGCATCGGGGCAACTATACGTGCGTGGCCAGCAACAGCCAGGGCCAGATAAACGCCACGGTGGCCATCAATGTGGTGGTCGCGCCCAGGTTCAGTGTGGCGCCCGAGGGGCCCATCGAGAGCAGCGAGCAAGGCGTCGCCGTTATACACTGTCAGGCAATTGGCGATCCCAAGCCGACCATACAATGGGATAAGGACCTGAAGTATCTAAGCGAGAATAATACGGATCGTCAGCGGTTCAGCTTCCTGGAGAATGGCACACTCGAGATACGCAACGTGCAGGCGGAAGATGAGGGCAAATACGGCTGCACCATTGGCAACAGTGCCGGGCTGAAGCGTGAGGAGGTTCGCCTGCTGGTGCGCGGCAATGGCGATGGCTTCATAACGGAGGAATCGGCCGGCGATGGTTTCCTGGTGACACGCGCCGTCCTCATCACAATGACCGTGGCGCTGGCCTACATAGTGCTCGTGGTGGGTCTGATGCTGTGGTGTCGCTATCGCCGTCAGGCACGCAAGGCGCGCCTCAACGAGCTGAGCATCAAGGAGGCGGGCGGTGACCAAGCGGAGTCGGGCAAGAACACGGAACAGGAGCCCTGCCTGTCCAAGCAGCGCAACGGGCACGGCAAGTCCCGGACAGCCGCCAATGGCGATGCTCAGAAATCCGATGATACGGCTTGCAGTCAGCAGTCCAAGGCGTCCAAGAAATCTGCCCATATCTATGAGCAGCTGGCTCTGCCACGTTCTGGCCTCAGTGAACTAATCCAAATTGGCCGCGGCGAGTTTGGCGATGTGTTCGTGGGCAAGTTGAAGGCCTCCCTGGTGGCAGCCGCCTCGCCCAGCGACAAGGATGCCGACACGGAGAAGCAGCACAGCAACAGCGAGAATGGCAGCGGTGCCAGTGGTGCCAGCGGCTGCGGCAGTGGCAGCACCACCCTCAGCACTCTGAACGAGAAGCGACGCTCCAAGACATCCATGGATGACATTGAGGAAATCAAGGAGGAGGAACAGCCACAGGAGCAGGCACAGTCCGAGTCGACGGCCGATCTTCTGGTGATGGTCAAGGCACTCAACAAGGTCAAGGATGAGCAGGCCTGCCAGGAGTTCCGTCGCCAGCTGGATCTGCTGCGTGCCATCTCGCACAAGGGCGTGGTTCGTCTGTTCGGCCTGTGCCGCGAAAAGGATCCCCACTACATGGTGCTGGAGTACACGGACTGGGGTGATCTCAAGCAATTCTTATTGGCCACCGCTGGCAAGGTTAACACAGCCACCGCCACCTCCTCGCCACCACCACTAACCACCAGCCAGCTGCTGGCTGTGGCCTATCAAATAGCTCGCGGCATGGATGCTATTTATCGCGCTCGCTTCACCCACAGGTAAGTTGAGTTGGGATCTCGAAAGAGATCCAGGGTTATAGCAAACAGACTAACAGATTAATACAACCCAAGATGAAACCAAGATTTTCAGCTTAGAAATGAACTTTAATAATATATACAATATACAAACTGTTAAATACTAAAGCGAAATAGAGGTTGTAGACAGAAAGAGGTTAAGTTAGGATCTGAATGGAATTTGTGGAATTCCCGTATGCTATATATACTTTAACAGATTTTACATTTATATATACTCGACATTTAACATATACTAACTATGAAATATATTCAGATTAGCTAATCAAGTTTTATCTAAAAATTAAAACTTGAACTTAAGCTTATCTTAAAGCAGGAAGAGAAGTTCTAAGGAATTAGCTGAATTAATTTGGCTGCTTATTATTTAGCAGGCTAACTAACTGCAATACTGTTATTTATTATTGAGCCAAGATAAACTGCAGTTAATTTATCTACATCCGCGACAGCTGCACACAGTTGGAAACGGATTAATCTCAAATAGCTCAAACTTGCAGTAGAAATGGCTAATTGATGCAATACATCTTCGAAATAGAACGTAATGATAGCCATTAAACGGTTCTGCCCTCTAACCCTCCAACAGAGACCTGGCCACGCGCAATTGCGTCATCTCCAGTGAGTTCATCGTTAAGGTCGCCTATCCGGCCCTCTGCAAGGACAAGTACAGCCGGGAGTATCACAAGCATCGCAACACGCTGCTGCCGGTGCGCTGGCTGGCACCGGAATGCATACAGGAGGATGAGTACACCACCAAGAGTGACATTTTCGCCTTTGCTGTCGTCGTATGGGAGCTGTTCAATCAGGCGACAAAGCTGCCGCACGAGGATCTAAGCAACGAGCAGGTGGTGCAGCGCTCGCTGGCCAATACCCTGGAATGGTCTGTGGCCGAGGGCACGCCCGATGGCCTCAAGGAGATTTTGGTACGTCTACACTTGCATGGCTCATCCAAATGAGACAGTTAATTAATTTATTGCTCTGCCCCTTCACTGCACAGCTCTCCTGCTGGTTGACCAATCCCAAAGAGCGTCCGTCTTTCAGTCAGCTGGGAGCTGCACTTAGCAAGGCCATGCAAGCTGCTGAGAAATAGACGATGATGACTGACATAGTGTTGGTAAACAATTAAAAGAAATAATAGTAACAACATGATTCATATAAAAACGAAAAACAGTTTGCTAACTATGCCAAATATAATTTGTAGTATTCTCTTAGTACATAGGAACGGCTTAAATTAAGTTTGATCAAGTTCTGCGTCGTACTGAATTATTTTCATATGCTAGGCGCGTGTTCAACATGCGTACTTAATTCGTAATTCATAACTTAGGATACGTCTATCTATTACTGTACAAACCATATAAGCATTGATATCTTCTCAAAAGTATTCACATACATACGTGGTGCTGCACAGAGCTCTCTGTGTGGCTAAAATGTATATAGAAATGAAACTGCCACACAAGAAATTTGCATTTGAACCAGTTGAAGCATTTATAGCCGTAGTTCGCTTGGCAGCTCGAAAGATGCCAAGAAATATATTTTAAAGCTACCCTAATCAATATTGATATATGCTAGGTCTAAGTTCAATTTTATGAATTAAATATTACAAATAAAATATTATAGAAATATATTTATGAATATATAAAATGAAAAAAACAAAATATTTTGATTATGAATTGCATAACTAAGCCAAACTTAAATTTAAAGTGACAACTTTTAATCATAGACCCATACATTGATACAAACATCATTTATCTATATATATACATATTACACACATACATACATATAATAAATATATATATATATTTATAAGTCGTAACAAATTTATAACTAGCTGTTTAAGCTTTGATGCATGTTTACAAAACATTTAAATGAAATAATAAACACAAATAAATAAAATAAGCAAAGCCCAAACTTGAAATCATTTTAAGTGCTTAGCCCCAAAAGGCGACAAGGCTCCGGAAAGTAATATATGGAAAAGGCAAAGCACAAATGCAAATAACGACGAATGGAGTTTGTTTTAATACAATTATGCGACTTGGATATGCTCTATAATATTGCTATAAGGTAATGAATTTTTTTAAATATTTAAACAAAATTAAAGAAACAGAATTCTATTGTTTAATGGATAAAAAAATTACTAATATAATAAAAATACAAAAACAAAATTTAAGACATATTAAAAAAAATAAATAAAAGATATTAGTTTAAAATTTTATCTAAACAAAAATTTTTAAGTTATATTAAAGTAAATAAGAATAATAATAATAATAATTTATAGTTTCATTAAAATATTAAAAATTATATGAAATAGGAAATCTATTTTCTTATGTGCTTTTATATTTTTATATATAATTTGAAATTTTAATTTATTTGAATTTTATATATTTATATTATTTTTATTAATTTTAATCTTTAGACAACAGATTTTTATTAATGAAAATATAAAAATACAATCTGAGATCAAGTTGAATATCCTAGCTAATCTCGACTACATAAAGTAGTTACAAAAGATCCTCTTCAGCCGAATTCCCTTCATCCTCATGTTATTGGTATAGAGTACCCAACAATAGTCGAATCGAAATGCTGAGCTGCCGACCGATCCCTTGTTATGCTGTGTAACTACTTTTTATAGACATTTCATTTGGCGTGGCAAATTTGTTGACGGTCCTTCGAGCACTGCCGCGATTTGCCATCCCGCTCGTTCACACTTCACTTGATTTGAAAAATGAGCATCTATTGAATGTCGGATTGGGAATTCGGCTTCGCTTTCGGTTTCGGTTTCGTTTTCGTTTTCGGTTTGCCTAACAAAACAATATGGCAATAAACCGTAAAGTTGCCTAAGCTTATTTGGGCCTTAAAGTTGGCCGGAAGTTCGCCTAGGCCAAGGCGCCTACGTTGCGAAAAAAAAATAAATAAGAGAAGAAAAGTTTTGCCGTGCGAAAAACTTTAGCAGCCAACCGAGCGATATTTGCATTTGAATCAACACAAAAACAGCAACAACAACAACAACAACAGCCACACCATATACAATGAGTTGGCATTTTTTGTCAGCCTATATTTTGTTGCTTTTATTTATTTATTTTTTTTGTTGCCTGCCAATTGTGGCCAGCTGTGGCAAGTTCGGGGCCGAAGGAATCTAGGCTGTTTAGCATTTCCTGGCACGTACAAATTTTCTGCCATGAATTTCAAATGCTTAGGCAAAGGCTGATTGAACAGTTCCAAAAAAAAAAAAAAAAAAAATTGCTAAAGTAAAATACTTAGCCCTTTTTTTGTACTTAACGAAGAGCCGATGCTCTTAAAATAAGAGCCTGCCATTTCTAACCGAATTAAACTGGGTCGAAAAAGTTGAAGTATTTAGCAAAATTAAATTGGCAAAAAATTCATTTAATATATCTAATATAACTGATTCGGAAAGCTGACCAACTTTATATAGTTTACTTTTAGAAAAACTTTCATTCGAAATAGGTTTTATGTTTAAATTAAATTCTTTGGTTATATTTTTGACAGCAATTTGAATTTAATAATAATTTTGCTAAATGCTACATTACATTTTTTTTATACGTACTTTTTTACGCAATTGCTAAATTTAATACCTTATTTATATAGAAATGTATTCCAATCTGAAATTTCAGCCAGAGAGTAAGAGGGATAGAGAGTGAGTAAGAAAGTAAGAAAGTAAGAAAGAGAGAGAAGGAGAGTGAACATGAGAGAGAGAGAGAGAAAGAAAGAGGCAGAAGGGGAAAGACAGAGGGAGAAACAGATGTATACAGATAAAGAGATATATAGATAGATAAGGAGAGATAGAGACAGTGACAGATCTTGCTTTAATTTGCATTAATTTTTTTTACATGCAGAGTTAGGATCTATTAATTTTACTACATTTATTCTGATAAAAAAATTTTATAAATGAATGCAATTATTTCTTTCTTAAATGAAAAATGAGTATGTCTTATTAAAAAGTTTCTAGTGCTCCTTTTTGAGGCAACTTAATCCAGCTATACATTTGCTTTCTTTTGCTCATGAAACTAAAAACATTTAGCTATATTTGCTTGTTTTACATTATTGATTCGGGCAAGAGAATGTCCAAATAAGTATACACCGGAAATGTTAAATTATTTCTTGCAAGCTAAGGCTAATATATGTGTATATATGCAAAATCGGAAATGTTAAAATATATCCTACAAGTTTAGCAGCTAGAGCGAGTCTAAGTCTCTCGTCTCTCTCTCTCTCTCTCTCTCTCTCTCCCTATGTCTCTCTCTGAGCTCAATTTTCTCATTCACTTTAAGCACCTCTTATAACTGAAACACGCCCATCACTTGCCCCAATTCAGTCACTTCTTTAACTCTTAATCCTCATAGTTTTTTCACCATAGAACCGCAGCTGAAGATTTGAATTTGCCGTCGAGCAATTAATTGAATTAAAATGGTCGAGACATTCTAAATATTTATTTTGCCAAGTTTAAACCAGGCAACATGATTTAAGGATGAAAGATTAATTGACTGAAATTTCAGGCATTGAATTTGCTTGAGCTGAATCGATTAAGTGTAGACATTTGTTGTTAATATTTAAGGAGCTGGATATCAACATGATTCTATTAGTGTATTTAGAAAACTTAAATGTACATTTTAATCAACTAAAGTTTCAAATCTTTCCTACGAACTGTTGCCAAAAGCTAACAGAAATTAGTAGAAAAACAAAAAAAAATGGCTCGAACAAGCAAACACAAACACAAACCAAGCAGCTGCATAGAGACAAACCAAATACATTTGGCTTATGCAACTAGGCCTCACTCCACCCCTAGGCCAGAGGTTCATGAATAAATCAATGCGAAATGCAGTTGAAACTCAACATCAGGTTTACGTCAATGTTTGTGTCCTGTGTTTTGCATGGCTGATATCCAAAAATGAATTTGCTGAAAAATACATGAGGCCATAGCGCACATGGCGTATGCGCAATATTTGTTATTGCTTGCCATGTTTTTGGCTATGTTTGCGGCAGCTGCAACAACAAAAGCCTAAGCTTAACAGCATTCTCATATATACATATACATATACATACATATATGTTTTTTGTGTGTGTTTGGTGGTATTTTGTACATTTGCATATCACACACACACTCACACAGACACATGACAAAAATGCCATTCAATTTATTAATATTATGTATGAGCATAAAGAGCGCGAGTTGAAATGGCTTTGCCAATTGAAGCGTAAAATGTGCATTACTCATACGCCGCATATGCCACACACACACACATACAGATACGTGGCCCCCAGCTGACCTATGCCACTTTATTATGCCTTTTACCTGTATCTGCACACACACACACTCACATAAATTATACATTACGCATACGCCGGGTAAATTTATGCGCTCCAGAAGTAAATGTTTGGCAAATAAATTACGCGCTAAATTAAGGCTTTTGTATGCGAGCCCTAAGTGACTCGGCAATTGACTGCAAAACTCAACTCGTTGCCAAAAAACAAAGCTCCAGATTGATGGCCCGCAGGCAACTTCAACTTGCAGCATCCAGCAAGGAGCTGGCAGCAGGCAGCAGTCAGCAGGAGTGGCAGCAGCAGGCGGAGAGGACGAAGGGCGGGCATAGGGCACATCAGCCTCATTATGTAGTCGCCGAAAACATATTTTCGCATTCATCAGCAGGCAAAAGTTTTGCAGCAATTCTGCCGCCTGCCGACTGCCGACTTCCTGGCACATAATTGAAGCACATCGCAGACTCATTTGTTAGCGACTCCCCGCGTAATCATATTTCTGTCAGCGGGTGGAGCAGCGGATTTGATTGCTTGGCCCGGTTTTTATGGCATTTTCGTTTGCAGCGCAATTAGTGCTGCGCCAGAGTTTGACATAGTTAGGGAATTGTGTTTTTAGGCCAAGCCCTGACTGAGCTTAACGGCATCTCTTAAAGGCTTAAACATGTTGCAAGTGCAACATGTGCATGCCAGACAATCAGCCACAAATTATCTTCCCCTCTGGAGATGGGCAGATCTCACACATTGCCGGCAACTAATTTAATTATTTCACTCAGCCACTGCAAAGTCTCAAAGTCTCCGTAAATCAGTGCAACAAGCCAGCAAAGCCTCGCACCCCCACAGCGTCGGCTGCCACGCGCCGCAACTGCAAAGCTTTTTTGAGCGTATAAATTTAATTAAATTAGTTTCAACTTGCATAAGTCGAGTCGAGAAAATGAAAAAGAAGAAACGCGCGAAAAAATTGAATATTTCTTTGCCTCGGCCCTCTGCGAGGGCTGTTCGGCAAAATGTGCGCGCGGCACGTAGCGTGACCCTAAAACTTGCCACCCCCCAAAAAAAGGGCAATCAGACTCACGTCTGTGCCGCAGTCTGGCAGTGCGACGTTGACGTTGATGCCACTTTATGATTATTATCA